AAATGATAAAACAACGTACTATAGTTAATGATTCTAATAATCTCGCCATCAGGATCTAGGTCTGAGCATTCATCTCCGAACAAAACAATAGCTTTTGTAATGGACGACTTAGATCATGATTGTCAAGCGTTTCATTTTCGATTGTAGGTGTATACCTTATATACTATATGGGCATTATCTGGAATTCGTGTTTTTTTTGCATCAATGCCTCTAAGGTTGAACGAATTTTTATACAAGAGAGATAGAGAGGAAACAGCCAACCGGGTTGCAAAGAACCAATGATTTCTGCCGCTCCACGAGCAGCGAACGATCGCGGATAATTACAGATTTGGTATGAAAAAAATTAGCATTGTTCTTTTCAAGGCCAGAAACGCGGCAGCATCAACCATCGCGCGGTGATTGTACAACAAAAGTCTACGAACCTTTACGTCATGCGTTCAACCGTTGGTCAAGAACCTCAACTTTAAACTAAACTTATTATCTTTCTCTTAAATCGAAAGGTATTAGTGTACACGGTGTCTAGAAACAATACAACCCAACGTGTGAACTATTTGAAAAGTAGTTTTCTTAGAATCTATTTGGAAAGCAGCAAAGGTCTTATATTAACGAATTAACGATTGCACAAAGCTTCTAAAAATGACTTCACAGGCAATTTTGCCAAACGCTGGTTGGAAGTATTAAGGCCGGTTATCCACTAAACCGATCAGACTTAAATCAGAACGGCGACAATTGGGCGATGAAAATCGGACGCGTATAAATAAGTGTAGTAATATCTACCATCACAACCGAACGGCATGGCCTAGAGGTTTTAGACCATTGCTTAGCATTCGGGAGGACGCCGGTTCGATTCCGGGTCCGTCTGCCTTGGTCCAAGTTTTCTGTGGTTTCCTTGGATCACTTAGACAAATGCTGGGACAGTAATATCGGACAGATAATCTTTCATTCACTTCTGTCTTCATTTCGTCCGTCTCATATTTTTCACCGGAACCACCACCCACCCATTCCCACGATTCCTGAAAGAAGGCTGAAGAGGGCCTTCCGCCTTACCTTCCGGCGTAGTCCGGAGGAACTGCCCGCCCACCAACATTAGTGACTAATGGGAATGAAACACCCAAAAGTTTTTTTTTTCCTACTATCACGATGCAGTCTTATACGACACGCACGACGACATAATCAGCTTTTACTATGGTCCTTTCAAGACGCTGCAAACATGATGAAGGTCGGATTGGTTACTCCTTTGGCTATGTCTTTATCCTTTTCTCAATTATGTAACTCAGTTGCCAGGCAATAAAATTTTCGGTTGAGATAAGCAAAAAATTAAGTTTGTTAAAAAAATTAGAAATTCAAAATCCCTTTATTCGAACGAAAATGCTACAAGGTACTAACAGTGTGAAGTCCTATGTCTTTAGCCAGTTTCCAAAATTTCTAATTTACATTTACCTCACGTTTAGTTTAGTTTCTACTCACCTCTGAAAAGAGATGGTTTTATAAAAACATATTTCCTGATGAAATCTTTTGAAAACTTCTCGTATGTTTCAAAAAATAAAAAGTGTTATCAGCATTCACAACGAACAGATTTAATTAATTCTAAGTAGCTTAAGTAGAAGTATCAAAAATTCACATCGAATTACAAATAGCACGAGACCGCTTCTCTGACCGGTCACCATTTATATGTACATTAACTACCTTATACAGTAATAATTTACACACAGAACAAATAGAATAATTCATGCAGAGGCATGCCTTAGTTTCTTACTACCATTGTCTTCCTTTTAATTTCAGATTATCACAGAATAATTTGTGCACAGTTTAATTTTAAATTCATCGCTCAAAATTAATTAACTGAAAAAAAATTTTTTTTTATTTTTCATCAGTAATACAATCATCATGTACATATTAGGAAGTTAATATATTGCTTCAATGTTCATTTCCTTCCCTAATCCCAAAATCAAAGATGTGATGGAGAAAATGATTTTTTAACACCGGTGTTTAATGTTAAAAATATAGTTATATTAGTGATCTACCTGTCAATACACAGAAATCTAGATAATTTGCTACTACCTAATTGATATTATTCGATATATCAATTTTTGCAAATTGAATTTCGCCTAATAACAGGTTTAATTGTGCATAGCTTTCTCTACCATTCAGAAAATATTGTTTTAACCGTTACTTTTCGATTCGAAGTGAGCATCGAATTTAAAAATAAAAATTTGTTTTGCTAAACGAATGAATTATGTATCAACCACAGTATTGTTCCCAAAATTTAATTACATGACATTAAAATTCTGTCAGCTTTGTTCGAGAATGTTCATCTTCACCTTTCAGAATACATTTAAACTGAACTAGCTTCTCAAATTCATATTAGGTATAGTTTCGAAATGAGCCCTGTACTTCCCTGTTCTCAAAATATTATGAAACTGTTCCTCGACTGAGTTACTTAGATATGTCAAAAAGTCCAAATTCGTGTAACGTTTACGCTCGAACTCAGATATATATTCAACTTTTCTCACATCTGTTGAATCTTTTTTTCTCCATTGCAAAAGTCTATGAGTGTAACGCTGTAAAATAACAAAAAAAGGTGCAAAAAATGTCCTCTAAACAACCGAGCGTCAAGATACATTGACCCAGGCATCTAAATTGCCAACATTCGAATGCTAATTGGACCTTGAAACTATCATTAGAAGCATGTTTGATAAACAAATCCGTTTTAAAGCTGGATACTGAAATGGACTCCCAATTAATATTATATGTACTCATTTCAAAAGAATATATGAGAATGTGCATATACATTATCTTTTTGTCTTTTCAAAATGCGGACGGCATCAATCAAATGCAAATGCATTGAACGTAAAAACCATGTATTAAACAATCAGTATGTTAGCAAGTTTTTAGGAACATTTTTTAATACCTAACGTATGAATTAAAATATTGCAGAAAAATAATTGTAGATAATATTTGATTATTTTATAGTTTACCAAAACAAGTTTTCAATCATCTTGGTTACTCCTAACGGACAGAAAAACAAATAATTTAAATAAATCCATATTAACTCTGAATTTTTAGATACAGGGACACTTAATTCGATGTTCCAATAAGTGTACACAAAATAAGACGCAAAAATTTTATAAATAATTCATAACATTTCGGTATTTTTCGAAAACCGCAACAAAACCTTATAAATATTTATTATTTTCACCGTTTCCACCAAATATAATATCGAATTAGAGACATGTGTCACCATCTATTGTATATGAAATGTTAGACAAGGCCCGTACTAAGGTATCCGCTTGTCCAACTGAATCTGTAACGCAACTCATACACGTAAAATGTAGGTAAACCAAGACTAAAGCGTGCTGATAAGAACAAACAAGATTGAAATCGCGATCTACGTTGGATACTTTCGATAAATTATTAATTAAAGAAGATACCTTACTAAGGCCGCCGTGCCTATCATATTTACCATAACAAACCTTGTAGTGGTAAATTGGGGTAAATAAATTTATTATTAAAAGAATATTGACACCTTATCACATTAACATAAATTTCGTACGATAATAAAAGCCATTAGTTACAGGTAGGTACCACTCAAAACGATGTTAACCATTTTATAAAACAAATACAAAACAATGACCTTTAAAAAAAATCGTCTGTATAAGAGTAATCAATTTTGTGGACGGTCACATCTTAAATTTGAATAAAATGTTTGTCCATACATTATTATTTCAAAAAATAAAAGAGTATCACTTGACTCTCGGCACTTGACGTTGTTGAAAAAAGATTCCATTTAACAAATTGACAGAGAGAGAGGAGGAAAACAATATTTGCAAAGTGTCCATTATGTAAACAACAAATCAAACAATCACGTCGCCGTAGCAAAAGAAATAGCAAATGATCTATTCCGTGACTAATAGTCAAGTTCAACGTCCCACCTTGAATTTTTGACCGAGCTCACTGCTCATGTAATACATTCAAGCATATACATGTACATGCATGTGATAGAATGGCGAACAATAACTAATCTGCACACCGTACCGTGCAAAACTAGTTATAAAAATGTTCGTGTCTTTTACAGGCAAGATGTCCGGTTAAAAAAAATGACAACGAATAATAGAGAAACGCGACCTCTTGAAAGATACAAATTATTTTTTTAATGGAAATAATCATTCAAAAGTTTCTTGGAAACAAAAAGTTGCATTTAAACTACGTAGTATATGTTATTTAATTGGACAAAGCGTACGCAACGTTTTGGTCCTTCGAGCCGGATACGCATCTAACTATCTCCAACCTTCCAACAAAAACAAAAAGTTTTTCCTTGTCTACATTTATTCAGTTACTTCTCGATTTATACGATATATTATATCTAAGTCTGATGTTGATGTTAATAAAATCTGTCAAGAATTTTTTCTTACTTGCCCAAGGTTTATTTAAGATTATTGTAATGTTAATATCGTGAGAAAATATAACAGATCACTATTACAGAAATATAATGAAACAAAATAACTTTGATGCAAATACATATAGAAACTTATATAAAATACTTTTACATAAGTATAATTTAATTAAAAAATCAAATCTTTCTATAAATCGTCATTCCAGAATTTAACTTTTAATTTTAATTTACAAGTAACTATAACGCCTTATTTGACTCAACATTAGATAATGTGGACAAACCAACTAGTGAAATATAGACACGACTCAGGATAGCATTAACATAATTGCCTGCAATTATTGAGCAAATTGCTCTGAATGTATCTTCAACTTAAAAGTATATTATTTTAAATAATTATCCGTTTCCTTTTGCATACTCATATATTTCTACGGGATTTTTTACTGTTACATCACTCCAGTCGGTCTCACCTCGAACAAAATTGCTTTTCTACATAAAATCGCGTAATAATTATCGCAATATAGATTCCTTCCCACACAGATATTTAACAATTTAAATAAACCTGAAGGACCTACATCTTCCTAATTGCCTTTTTTCTTTCTCTTTTCAGATCGCAACAAAGACAGTAAAGATGACAAGAAATCAAAACCCACTTCTTCACCTGAGGACGATAAGCCATCCCCTAGAAAAGAAACCTTACCTCCTAGGAGGTTCACGTCGTCAATTCTTGGTGGAGATATACCATATGGAAGCAGAGGCCACGTCCTCACACGTGCCGAAAGAAAAGAATATCCTCCAATCATCCCACCAGACAAACTAATCCTGCCTCTTACTAAGAAACCACCCGAACAAATTCCGCAACCCCAAAACCTAGCACCCGTAAGATGCTCCGTAATTCAACGCACCCCAAAAGCAACAAAACGAGAAGAAGATAAAGACACAAGACTGCAATCGAACATCGCCATCCAAGAACCCGAACAAGAACAACCCATCGACTACCACATTCCAAAAAGGAAAGGTGAAACTGAAGACGAAGATGAGGAAAGAAAAACACGAGAACAACGACGAAGTCGATGCTCTAAGGTCAGTAGACCTCTGATATCGGTGAGGGCAATAGTTGGGAAATTACCGACAACCATGTCAGCTGCCGCAGGTCACGGCAGGGGTAACAACGGTGCCCAAGGCGCTAATGGGCAAACATCGGGTAACTCTTCTGGAGGTAGTGGATCTATCAATTTTGGAAGTACATCATCTGGTGGAAGCGGAGGGGGTTCGTTAGGCAGTGGTACGGGCAATGGAGGAATGAATCCTGGCAGGGACGGCAGGCAAAATTACGGTCCAAGTAGTCCACCTACCGGAAGCCTCCCGCCTTTTTATGAATCTCTCAAAGGGGGTAATAGCGGTTCGAATAATTACAATGCCGGTGGAAATTTTTCAAACAACAACTACAACCAAATGAATTTGGGGAATATGGACTGCGACACCGGACAAGACGTCGAAAATATAAACGGAAATAACTCTAACGCACCTAAACAGTATTCTCTGTTACAAAATGCTTCTTATGGACTCGTTATGAAAGACGAAACAGACCTAGATGGATACGAAAACAAAATCGACCCAATGAACAATCTACTTCCTGCCTCTTACTCAGTTTACGAAGACTCGATGATGGTGGACATGGTAACAGGAGCGGTGGTCGATCCATTACAATTCACAGCCACCTTGACCTTCTCCAGTTCCGCTGAGCATGCCCTCCTCGAAAGTCTTTCAGATGCAACAGATCTTTCGTCATTCCTCCAAAGATTACCGAACGAGGACAATGATAACGACGAAATAATCGGAAACGAAATGCACTCCCCTTCAATAACCCCCGATTCCAATCACCTCCAATCGGTCGACCAAAACATCGACTCATTCTCAGATCAAATCCTGAGTAGAAATTACGAAGGAAGTAGTCAAAGGGGCGGTGGTTACCAACCTCATCAGTATTCGAAAATTTACCCCGAATCCCTCCCTTCATATCAGTCTTCCGTGAGCAATGACGTACAAATGCAAATGCAACAACAGATGCTATCGCCGGGACTCTCGTTCAACGGTAACGGGATAGAATTAGATTCGCCCAGTGCAATATCGTTACCATCGCCGGGAGCTGCCAGTTGTTCCCTGGATGGAACGAGCCAAAACGAACGAAATTCACTCAGTCCTGCTAGTGTAAGTAGTCGGCGAGAGTCAACGAGTAGTGATACGCCTAATTTGCAAGGAAGAGTTAGTCTTCTGCAGCAACGGGTTAGTGTCAATTTTTTTGATTATTACTAAGTACTTTTTAATGAATTAATAAAAACGGGATTCCAAAAATCGATACTACGACTGTCATCTAATCGTATAAATAATAATAATAATTACACTTTACCATTCGTTAACTTTGACAAAAATACATTTTAAAACTGACATGCTCACGCTTTACATATGTATCTAACCAAAAAATGAAAACAATAAGAATTTTAATCTACATGTGGCAGAATAGTGACAGTTGTAGTATCAAAGTCAATTTTTAGACAATCCTTTTTAAAAAATTAAACATCAGGACTTCTATTAGTTGAGACACATGGACTTTTGCATAGTACACATTTCATTCGATACATATTGAAATACAGGGTGTCACATCGTCGTTGCAACTCTAATATCGTAATATAATTGTTTGTTTATTAGTTGTTCTAGGCATGCGTTGTTTATTTTGGAATCCTCTGATTGGTTCTTCAAACCATTGCACTTGTCACCTTTTAATTGTGGCAATAAAATTTTTCAGCAATGCCCGCATGTATCGACAGCTGCCGAAAAATTAACGAAATTGTTATTACAGTTGGGACTGCCGGCAGAAGTGCAACTTGAATTCGTGAACGGTGGCCACGGGATCAAAAACCCTTTGGCCGCAAATCAGGATACTCTGAGAGCGCGAACTGACGACAAAGTCAAAGTTGCCTCTATCACAAACGAGGACGGTTCGTCCAGTTTTTGTTGTAGAGTGTGCAATAAGACCTTCACTTTACAACGACTATTAAACAGACACATGAAATGCCACTCTGACATCAAGAGATACCTTTGTACTTTTTGTGGCAAAGGATTCAACGACACCTTCGATCTCAAACGACATACAAGAACGCATACAGGTTTGTATTTCATATACAGCGGAATTCGTTTATTATGACTCCGCCTATATTTACCAACCGCTTAATATGAAGTAATTGCAGTGTTTTCATATTAAATTCTATATACGAAAGTTTGGATGTAATGACTCCGTTTAAAATGACATATCGTTTATTATATCTGATTCTCAAGAAATCATATCCGGATATAGTGACCCAAATGATTAATAATAAGATTTTCGCTCATTTTTCTGACCCTTTTTATTTATATTGATATTACAATTCATCGTTCTTTTTCTTTTTCTGTTAATAAATATATTCGATTTGTAGTTTTTCTCCCTATTAAACTAAATAACTAACCAAAATAGAAAGTTGTTTATTTTCTAAGACTATGCTTTGTATGACGCCCGCTTAGTACGACGTGTTTGTCATTTCCCTTCGATGTCATTATAGGCGGATTCTACTGTACGTACCAAAATCATAGTCATAAAAACTTAAATAATTGAACCCTTGCAGACTCGTTGCTTTTAGTTAATTTATGGTGTCCTAGGAAAGCGGTGCCATGACAGAGCAGCCATTACAAAACATTATCCATGCTTTTTTAACCCCCGGCACAAAAAAGGGGTATTCAAAATTTAACGTGTATATCTGTGTATTTGTCTGTGACATCGTAGCTTCTAAATGAAATAACCCATTTTGATTAATTTTTTTGTTTGAAAAGTGACTTTGATTGATTGCTTTTAGCTATGATTTTTTACAATCAAACAAGTTTAAACATTACAAACAATGAATAAACTATATTTCAACACAAGTTCATTTAATTGGGGATTATTAATAAATTACATCACACGTTAAGGGGGGGGGTCAAAGAAATGTAAATTTGTGTGTGAAGGAACAGTAGGGGGAGTCAAATGCTTAGTGACGTCACATGTCAATATTTCTGTACATTTCTTATTAGATAATTTATAGCGGCGGTTATTTAAATTCAATATTCCGAAAATGTAATTAGCCTCTGAAATATTATAGATTTGGGATCATGATACGAATAACTTAAATCTAAATATCTGGTCCCTACTAAATAAAAATACCGCTAAAAAGCGTTCCCTTAGTTTACATCTGTGTCCACCGCTATAACGGCCGTAATAACCTTATATAACGGCCACTCCATTACGCTATCCTAGGAAACCATAACTTTATAAACCAAAGATCAACAAAAACTGCCACCTTTTTACCAGTTTTTTTAGCAAAGAAAGAGTATTTTTATTTCCCTAATTACCTACATATTTATCTATTATTCTTATATGTCCTATAAATTCTCGCTTGTGACACATTTTCGAGACGACATAAGTGCATAATTTGTTTTAATTTGCAGGAGTGCGACCGTACAAATGCAATCTTTGCGAAAAATCGTTCACACAAAGATGCTCATTAGAATCACATTGCCTGAAAGTTCACGGAGTCCAGCATCAGTACGCGTACAAAGAAAGGAGGGCAAAAATGTACGTTTGCGAAGAATGCGGTCACACAACAAACGAACCCGAAATCCACTACCTGCACCTTAAAGAGAAACACCCCTACAGTCCGGCCCTTTTAAAATTCTACGACAAACGTCACTTTAAGTTCACAAATTCGAATTTTGCGAACATGCTGTTACAAGTGCGCACGTGAACTGGGCCGGCGTTGTTTTCAGATAAGTCCTTTCCATTTAAACGTATTACTGTACTGTCCACGTCCAGTGACATTACTCAGTGAAAATAGTCAATTATTTTACACCAACAAGGTTTATGTTGAGTGTAATCTTTACTTGAAAAATTCGGACGTTGTTGTTTAAATTCAAAGTTTCTTTTCCATCTTCTCCAACAAGCTAGCGTATTTACTAAAGAAGGCTTAGTTGGTCGAATTCCACATTGTGACGACACAACTATTTCGACCAACCGAAATTTTGCATTACTAAGCTAAGTACCTTTAGTAAAATCGACTAGATAGTCTGCTGAACACTACCAATGATATATTTGATGAGTATATTGAGCTAGTCAAATGACTTATAAAGTAAAAGAAAACTTAGTTTACAATTTTCTAAAAAGAAGTACATACGTCGTTGCGTTGATTGGCTTTGATATATTCCTCAATAAATCATTACAAAAGTGTTTAACGACGATTTTTCTTCTGTGATACTAAGAACTGAAATGAAGTACCTTTTTTGCATCACGTCTTGTAGGCAGCAATATTATTAAAAGCAAATAACAAGCAATACTGTAGCCTGCGTTCGTTGTTCGCTGCAAGGATCACAATAATACATAAGAGCTAAGATGACAACACTGCAAATTTTTGGTACCCGAAACGAGGGGTATCAAAGAAAAACCGAAAAATCGTGATCCATATATTTTTTTAAAAAAGAACGGCTCAGCTACCACAAAAACGGCAGTGTATCATTTTGATCGGGTTTTTTGTGCAATCAGGTGTTAGGTTTTATGGGGTAATAAATAAGTGTACGTAGAGTATTTGGTAAACGACAGTGCTTTTTGCGGAACGATGTTAGAATTTAGAAAGACGAAAAAATGACTTGAAAACTTGATTAGTACAAATTACTATTTATAAAATAATCATCGAAATGACGAGGAAAATGATTAACATTCTGAAGGGAAACTAAATATTATAAGAGCAGATATTTATAAAAGTTTTTCTAGACTTTAATAGGTTCCAAAACCAATTCTGGTGCTTCATAGTTTCTAAAGTAAATCTATGGTGCTACAGAATTAAATTGTTTTATCTTTTAATGTTTATTAAACTCATGAGTGTAGGTTTCGACTTTACTAGTGATTATAATGTACTTAAACAATCTTCTAGAGAATGTACACTCTACTGCATTTTAATATTATTATTATTATTATTATTATTGTATAGAAGCACGGACTAGAAGGCTGACCTAGAGCAGTCAAGTCGTCCAGGACTAACCGGCGGGGCGCAGCGCGCCGTGTGCGTGTCCTACCTTCACCAACCATTATAAATGGCTCGAGACGTCGCACCCGCTTATCAGAATGACGGCCGTCCGTCAAAGCCCTTTCAAAATACGTCTGCAAGTTTTTTTTTCGAAATTAGGCGGCCGATAAAATTTTGATAAGAGATGCAAAACGACAGAACACGCTTGATAACGAAATATACTTGTAAGAGCATGCCAAAGCCCCACAAAGATCAATAATTAGCAAATAAAATGCTCAAAAACTCCCGTCTCCAGAAGGGAGGAAAACTAAAACAGTTATTCACTGTTTTTGCCAAAATAGCTGACCAAACAGCAAACTGTAAATAGTTGAACAAAATAAAATTTCAACTAACGGACCGTCTATTAAAAACGTCACTTAGATTTTCACTTGTTTGGACCCCCCGAATATTACGTCACAAAAGCTTACCGCCCTCCTAGAAATGATTTTTGTGATGAAAAGTAGCAGTGAGGTTGAATTTCTATTGTAAAAAGAGCTGTGTGAAGTAAAGAAAAAAATCAAAATAAAATTGATGAACTACAAACGTCACATTTCCTTAGATCCCTCTCTCCCCGTGTCATATCTCGTCACGCCAAGCAATACCCCTCTTTTGCGTAAATTTGCTGACGTATTTTATGAACAAACCCTAAATCGATGTATAAATTTTCATTCTTTTCTAGCATTTATTCGCATACTTTCCGTAAATGTGGAAATCGATCCTAAACGTTGGCAGTTTCTCTTCAATGTGTATTTTGNGAAAGAGGTAATTGACGTTTTATTTCTGCCTTTTATTTTATTTTCACATTATTTTTAATATTTATGATTATGAAAAGTGCTTCTTTAGACAATGTTAACCAGATGAAAATACAATATTCTCCGAACTCTAAAATGAGCTGAAAGGCGCATTATTAGGTAATTTCTTTAAATAAAAAATACTACTTCTACTTGGAACTTTATTGTGAATTTAAGAAAGGCAGATACTATTTTCCCTTACAAATAATTTTGAAGTGTAATTTTAAAAGTGTAGACACAATTTACAATTATTATAAATAATATAGGTACCAAATGGAACCAATGTAGCAAGTTAAAGTACAAAAACACTTATTAAATTCAACGTGATAATTAAAAAAGGATAACTCAATGTAAAAATACCGATAATTTTGCTGTTTAAATAATAAAATCGTACATTACAAAATTATTGCGTCATATTGGCACCTACCATAGCTTAGCATAAACTACTAAGTAAAGTACTTGTAATGTAAAAACTGCAGCAACGAATTCTTACCTTTCAGACAGTTATGGTATAATTTTCGTCAACACTATTATAATAACTTGTAAAACAATATAATATGAATAACTACCCATACCATTAATCAGAAGTACCTATCAGATTCACCAACAAAATAAAACCACAATTTATACAGCTGCTATTTATTTAAAATTTCAAAGTTGGTAAGAATAAACTGTATTTGTCAAAAGTCAAAAACAGTCAAAACATGCTTTGATGTAGAAAGTGAGCATGTGGTAGAATTATAAAAGTCAAACGAAGTTATATTATTTTTTTTGTAATACTTATGATAGACAATCGAAGTAATAATTTCAAAAACAGTATATTTGAGAGTTCGCCATGGGTAAAGCTAAAAAGGGGTACAAGGGAGGAAAGACCGAAGACAGGTAGGGTTACAATATGCTACAAATAAATTTGTGTATGTAATATTGTATTTGTTCAGTGATTCCACCGGTGAAGGAGCTACGGAAGAACTCATCGAAAAAATTCCCAATAAAAAGACAAAGTCAGCTCAAAAGTAAGAAATCCAAAAAAGTTTAATTGAGGTTATGAATGATTAAATTCTTTCACGAAATTTTAGATCAAAAGTAGCAGAATCTATTAATGAAGAAGAGTTACCATCAAAAAATAAAAAGCATAGTAAATCTAAGAAGGAAAAAAAGATCGAGTCAAGTGATTCTGATGCAGAGGATGTCCCAGTTACAAAAATTCAGAAGTCATTCGCAGTCCTAGATATTGATGATGATGATGATAGTGAACCTGAATTACCTAATCAAAATGAAAGTGATAGTGATACTAAACCTGTTAAGAAGAACACTAAGAAAAAATCTAACAAAACTAGTGATGAATCCAGAACTATTGAAAGTCAAAGTGCCGGAAAGAAATCCAAAAAGAGTAGAAGAAAGCGAGAAGATAGTGATGAAGATATTGATAAAGTACTAGCTGAGTTAGAACTTGAATACTCTGGTGTGAAGAAAGAACCAGCTGGTGAAGATGATGCAACTGAAAACCAGTCTAAAAATAAAGACAAAGTAAGAACTGAAGAAAAAGAAAAATCTGATGGAAAAGATAATGTTGAGCAAGAAGAAACATCTATTGTTAAAACAGCAGCTCAAAAGAAAAAAGAGAAGAAAGAAAAACAGAAAAAGGCAGCCTCCAAGAAAGTAGAAGAAGGTACGGAAAAGACTGAGACAGCAAATGTACAATCTGAAATTAAAATTGAGAAGGAAATTGAAGCAGAAAATAAGCAAGAGGGTGAAGAAAATGTTGAAGAAGAAAAAGATAGTAAAAAAAAGAAGAAAAAGGGTGCTAAAGTAGAAGAAGAAAAGAAGGATGCCAAAAAAGGTACTTAAAATGTATAAGTTACTTATTCAAACAGTAATATTTAATTTTAAATATTTCAGGCCCTAGTAAAAAAGCTATTGCTGCAATGCAAGAGGCCTTGAAAAAACTTAAGGAGGAAGAAGAAAAATTGAAAAAGGAAGAAGAAGAAAGAATTCTAAGAGAAGAAGAAGCTGAGAAAGCACGCCAGGAAGCAATACGCTTAGAAAAAGAGAAAAAGGAAAGAAAAAAGCAAAAGGAAAAAGAGAGGAAAGAACGACTTAAAGCAGAAGGAAAACTTTTAACTGCCAAACAAAAGGCAGACCGTGCAAGAGCTCAAGCAATGATTGAAAGTTTAAAAGCCCAAGGACTTGAGCTTCCTGATGTGGGAGAGCGAAAAGTACGTCCTGGAACCAGAATAAAACCTTCTAAAATGCAAAAACAAAAAGCTGAAGAGCAAAAAGGTATGTTGGTTTTTGTTTAGCTTTGAAACACGCTGTAGGTTTCATATAATGTCCTATTTAAAAAAGTGTACATTGTGCAGTATTAAAAAGTATGTTAGTAATGTGTGACAAAGTTTTGCACTTCATTATTTGTTATCAAACTATAAAATAGATATTCTAGAAAATAAAGTACCTCCGGAAAGTGGCGTTAAGGAGAAAGAGAAAAAAGAAGAACCAAAAATAGCCCAGGAAGAAGCAGAAAAGTCTCAAGAACCAGAAGAAATTGAAGATGTTAAAGATGCTTGGGATGCAGATTCAACAGATGACGAAGTATCTGAAGAAACCTCTTCCAAAGACACTACTACAACTGGTAAATTTCCATGTTAATACGTTTCAATTGAAACAGTTTCTATTTACGATTTTCTAACAGAAATAAAATCAGAGAAACAAGAACAGCAAACAACAACAAAGAAGGATGATTCAGAAGCAGAAGAAAGTGAAAATAGTGGAGACGAAGATGATGAAAATGATTCAGAAAGTAGTGATGAAGAAGAAGACGAAGACGGCGATCATAAAACTGACGCTGAAAAGAGAAGAGAAAAAGCTGAAGCAAGAATTGAGGTAACTACATAATTATTTTAGTATCAGTTTGAAACATAATTTTTTGATTTTTTTTGCTAGCAAAGAAAAATTGATGCAGAAAAAAATCAAACTGTTGATAATCTAAGAGCAGCTGTAGTATGTGTACTTGGCCATGTTGACACAGGAAAAACAAAAATTTTAGATAAACTCAGAAGAACAAACGTACAAGACGGCGAAGCGGGTGGCATCACCCAACAAATCGGTGCTACCAATGTTCCAATGGATGCCATCAAGGAACAGATAAAAATTGTTAAAGGGGTACAGCTTTTCTTTTACAAACAAATTTCCAGTTTCAACTGAATTCGATTAATTCTGTTTAAATTTCTAAGATATCTCTTTTAAGATAATTATGTAAGGTATTTACTTTCATTTTAGTATAATGAGATGTCTTTCAAACTTCCTGGTTTACTTATCATCGACACCCCCGGTCACGAGTCTTTCAGTAATCTACGAAATAGAGGCTCTTCATTGTGTGATATTGCTATTTTGGTTGTGGACATAATGCATGGTCTCGAACCCCAGACTATCGAATCTATAAACCTGTTAAAATCGAAAAAGACCCCGTTTGTTGTTGCATTAAATAAAATTGATCGTTTATACGACTGGCAAACGATGAGCAGGAAGGACGTTAGAGAAATAATTAAAGCACAGGCACAGAACACTCAACGAGAATTTGAACAAAGGTAAAGATGTTGTTTATAATTTGTTTTTTTTTTTTTTTTTAATACTACTGAAGTTAAAGGTTATCATATTTGCTTTTTTTTATTCCAGGACTAAAGAAGTCATAATTCAATTCGCTGAACAGGGTCTAAACGCTGCATTATTTTATGAAAATCCTGATTCCCGTTCGTACGTTTCGATGGTACCTACTAGTGCCGTAACAGGCGAGGGTATGGGAAATCTACTGTCTATGATAGTCGATTTTTGCCAGAATATGCTTGCAAAGAGACTAATGTATTCTGACGACTTGCAAGCCACTGTGCTCGAAGTTAAAGCGATATCAGGATTGGGAACTACTATAGACGCAATTCTCGTAAATGGTATGCTAAGAGAAGGTGAGACCATGGTTTTGGCTGGTACTGATGGTCCTATTGTTACCCAAATCCGATCCTTGCTCATGCCGCAACCACTGAGAGAATTAAGAGTGAAGGTAAATAAAACAGTTAACCTTTATTTTTATATAAATTTGATTTGTTCATTTAGAAAACTATTGCTAAATGCTGATTTAAAATTAGAAAGAACAGTAATTTTTTCAACGTCTTTTTTAAAAATATGTATTTATAGATAGTTTTTATTCAGTCTTTGAACTGAACATATATTTACAATATTATTTCTTTTGTTCTAGAATGCTTATGTTGAGTATAGAGAGATAAAGGCGGCACAAGGTGTAAAAATTGCAGCAAAAGAATTAGAGAAAGCGATAGCTGGCCTCAACCTGTACATTGCTCATAAACCAGATGAAGTTGAAATATTCAAAGAAATTGTCGCCAAAGAACTCAAGTCTGCCCTGTCCGGTATCAAGTTGCAAGAGAGGGGAGTTTATGTTCAGGCTTCCACCCTTGGTTCTTTAGAAGCCCTTTTGGAGTTTTTGAAGTGCAGCAAAATTCCGGTGAGTTATTTAAAACAAAATTTTTGTAGTTAAAAAAATTGTTTCATATTCCATTAGTAATGTGGCCTGTTGGTTACAAGCAAAATAGAAGTACTAGGTAAATTATCAAATAGATTCGACCTTTACTTGATCTATATCAAACTGAAAAATAAACTTCGCACAATTTTTATTTAAAAAGTAACAACTATTTCGCCGCTCTTGACTTCTTTTACATTAAGTACTTACTACTAAAGTTACAATGTATTCTAAGTGTAAATATACAATGTTCAGAACAAATTTAAAAGTGGGGAAGGATTTATTACATTCTGTTTGGTCGTTTAGCAATATACCTAATCTTTTGTATTTATTTATTTCCAAATTCTCTAGTAATATAAATTTATTTCCTTAAGTTTCTAAATGTGAAATATCAAATTTATGTATTATTAAACAGATGTCCTTCTTCTGAGAGGTGATTGACGTAGGTAGAATCTGTCTTGTTTTTAATGTAACTGTTTTTTTGCTGTTAATCTTTTTTTGAAATTTCTTCCAGTTTGTCCCATATAAAATTTTTGGCAAGGCCCACATGTAAACTTAACAGTTCTATTTGATGATCTTTAAATTCATTATAACACTAATTTCATTTAATCACCTCGAAATACCGATTTTAAAGCCAATGAATATTTGTCATGAGTGTAACGAAGGATATTTTCCTGGGAGGGGGGGGGGGGCAGATTTTCAATAGCTATACGTTTATATAGGGTGTTCAACTCAAGGCGGTTTCATCCATAATTCTGTTACTCCCTATACATTTAGTAAATAATTTTTTTTATAAAACTAATCGGGAATCATATGATGCATATACAGAAAAAATTTCCAGTCATACGGGGTGTTCCATTTCTCCTGGACGCTACTTAACTTTTTTATTTTAAACGAAATGCCCTATATATTTTGACATTTTTGGTTTCTTTCCTTAATTTTAGGTCAACTTTGTTAACAGTTCCCTTTATCTATCTCTACCAATTTAAAAAAAAAAAAAACAATTTCCGCTCTTTGAATGAGACCAAATAAAATCTAAACCGTAAAAGCTAAACACTTGCGGTTTGCACAGTTCTTTTTAACATGAATAAACTATTATAAAGTAGTTTTTTCCTTTATATTGACTTTTTCTACCTGTCGTAATGACTGTCCTGACCTAGCATAATTAATATGTTGCGGGGTTGACATTCTCAATATCTATTATGCATACAATTACAATTAGTAATTTTCTGATTTCTAGTAAGTTTATTTTTGGGAGTACGAAATCGAAGACTTGTATATATACCAAGTATCCTCGTGATGAATGGAACTTTTTCGTCTGGTCGAGGTGTATATTTGCGAACATTTTTTGCGATACTTGTAGCAAATTAAGAGCGGAAAAGTCGCGTCTTTCTACACACCGATTGGGGCCCCGCTTAGCGATATTTATTCTAGCCAGGGCAATTGCGGAAGTGCATGTTTCATCGCCGTCCGTTATTTATTGTTAAAACAGATGCGTGTATGAGAAAATAAACTTGTCGAATTTGAATGAACGGCAAATTTCAGTTTGCGATACGGCCCATTGACGTCACGACCAATACCAGGAATCGTAAAAATGGGCCCGTGTGAACAGGGTTTATTACGAACGCACGAACCTTTATAGAACATAATTTTGGAAATTTTATACAACTGCCTTCGTTTTTTTTTTTGTTTATTGGCGCCCGAATGAAAGATCTGTATGCCGAGATTACTTTGAAATCGAGTGTGTGTTTATATGTTCTAACATGTTAAAATAACAACAGAGGAAATAGTTCGTAAAGCCTATTAGATAAGATGAACAAAAAGTCTTCGTAATTATGATGAGATTTTAGTGTCCAATTTGACCAATTGTAAGGCACAGAGCATCTTAACAACTGTTTTTTTGCGGGGATTATTTAATAATTAACTAAAAAAACCAAAAGTTTAACTAAAATTAAAATAAAAAAAATCAGAGGTTTTATTACGGAAATAAAAAAACCATAACTCCGGTTGTAATTAATTAATTAATTTCAAATAACGATAAACAGACGTGCTAAAAATACCGCAGATGTACATATCCTACAAACATATGGCGACAGTTTTATTTATCCTGCAGAAATTGTTATCTGTAATACTAATCGAAATTTATTTTTCTCGATCTGTAAAAAGTTTTAAATTACTTCCGCTGGAATTTATTTTAATTGCATATTTACGTTTGGTTTCGATTAATTGCCATTGACGCGTACGCTTTCCTGCGGATATGATCAAATAACCATTACCAGAAGCTAACACCGGCCACTTTTTAAAGGGAAGGGGGTAGAGGTCTGGAAAAAATTATTCTCTGTAGATCTCACGTAAGGCTCGATATTAATCGAATTAAATAGTAATAAAATTAAATGAAACAAAATAGCTTTCGACTGTATTTATCAAGATTTTTGTAGAGGTTTATCGGGTTTAGAATTATGTATTGTACAGGGTGTTTCTGAAATAAGCACCAAGCTTGCAATAGGTGATAGGTTCTTATAAAGCAAAATTAAGTTTTGTGACCTGAAAGTCCACCGTTTGCAAGAAAAGCTCTTAAAAGTATGGTTAAGCGTCAGTCCGGCCCTGGTAGGGAAATACGATATTGCAAATCTCACGTAAGGCTCGATATTAACCGAATTAAATAACAATAAAATTAAATGAAACAAAATAGCTTTCGATCGTTTAGGTATTTATCAAGATTTTTGTAGAGGTTTATCGGGTTTAGAATTATATATTGTACAGAGTGTTTCTGAAATAATCAGCAAGGTTGCAATAGGTAATAGGTTCTTATAAAACAAGAAAATTATGTTTAGTGTTCCGAAAGTCCACCGTTTTCGAGAAAATCATTTAAAAGTATAGTTAAGAGTCAGTCCGGCCCTGGTCGGGAAATACGATATTGTAACGTCGCAATCCATCAGCTGCATCATCCGTGTTGTACGAGTATATTTTATGCTGTTAATACCATGTCGAGATATACTTTAAACAGTCCTGCATATTATCGTCGATAAATATAGTGATTATTTAATTTTTCTTACAATTTTTTTGTCGCTTAACTACGCTGCGATTCCCTATTACTCTAGTTAACACCCTCCAAAGCTTACTTATTTCAAAAACACCCTGTATACAAGGACTGCCACCGCCTTCCAGGTATTCATTCACATCCGTAGCGTGTTTAGAGGCGGCCGAAGAGGGCCTCATGTCGTGAATGGAAATCCATCGCATCTCGCACAGCATTTTTCCATTAATGACAGGCGCTCGCTACAAGGCAAACTAGGCGAGCATACGAGCGGTTGAATCGAATCCATTCATACACTCTCCTGTTGTCTGTCAGAAGTCCTTTTTAGTCGTTTTCTTCTTTTTTGTTTTTGTTTTTAACTTGTCGTTAGTGGGTATATGTATTAACTACTTCGATTTCCTTCAAGTTCGACTCTCGGTCGGTCGATCGATAAGAAATATTGGACAGAAACGACGACAAGTTTTTTGTTTCCCCATTAACGATCTAAATTATAAAAATTACTGCCTTCCTTCCGGTTTTGATTTTATCATCGTGAAGGTGTATCTTATCTTTAGTTATAATTAGAGTTAGTTATTATACACCATGACCGGTTTTAATATCCTCCTCTTGGAAGATTTTCATTATTCTTTTTGAGGCATTATGACTAATCCTTTAACTAACGATATATGCAGATACTAAAGGTCCCTGAAATAATGTATGTAGTTTTAACGTTATTCTATTATGAAATTATTATAAAATAAACATGGGTGCCAAAATGTACTATAATAATGAAATCCTCTCCAGCTTAGAGCACGCGGCATTTGTCGCAATGGCGTATTATCGCAGAAGCCAAAGAAGAAGTTTTAGAGAGCGCAACATTCAAAAACTATTTTTTTATTATACTGTAATATAAAAATTTCTTTTTGCATAAAATAGGGGCATAACATTTTAAATGGCGAAAATTTGGGTTAATACGCCACTGTCCGCCCTATTTACGCCACTAATTATTTATAATCAGTAATATGCCTTTTACAAATAATAGAGATGATGATCCTGTATCTCTTCTACCCTTATTACACATATCTCATGACCTGTGTATTTATAGAGATTTCATATTGAAAAGTAAATTTTTACGTTTATAAATAAATCGTATTGTTGTCGTAGATAAAGTTTTATCTAATTTTTATAACTTAGAAGTAGAAATGTAATTATTCAGAATAATTTACAGCATTGCGACATTGTTTCCATCCAATCGATAAAAAACGGAAATTGGCACATATTTAATTGAATACATAGTAACTGTTATCAAAATATTTTCCTTGTTTGGTTTAACCTCAAAAACGCAACGTTTTGTTTACACTCTTTTGATAACGACGTTTTTCGATTAATGTTATTTAATGAACTTTTTGTTCGAAAGCGTAATGACACAATCGACGCACTACTTATAATAACCGATCGATTCTTCATTAGTGTTCTTCGAAGAATGTAATAAGCTTTTCCTGGAATTGATATGTTTTATTTCCTTTTTTTTAATCTCGATTACATTTTATCGCTCTTGTTTTGTTATTTGTGTCACAGTTGAAAATACTGCTTTTATATGTATACATCAATATCCATACGCGACATCCTATGCTATACAGAGTGTCTAACGAATAATGACAATTCTAATTGTAGATTAGCAAACTTAAAACATTAGAAAAAGATAAGGGTTCACAAGGTGGCAAAAAAACTATAGACTGAATAAGTATGTACTCTATAAGATTTATTTTGTTATTTATTTATTATTTTTCTGCCGCTATGCTTGGGATAAATTGTTTAACTGGTTATGAGATTTTTCATCATAGGCGGGGATACCCTAATTGAAGGGCTAAATGGTCCAATAGTAACCCCGGGGTTCAAGCAAGCAAGGTGATGGCAATATTGTTGTTGTTGTATTTTTTTGGGTAAAGGTCTAGATGATGACCCTTCGGGGGGTGGGAGTAGGGGGATCGAAAGAGCGTGGTTACCTGAGTAAAACCTCATAAAAAATTTGCGGCGGTCTCACCCCCATAAAAAGTTATGCGGGTTGAAAGTTGATTATTTTGACAATTTTCATACACTATAATTCAAATAAAATTCAATAAAATAATTATTTTCAAGCGGGTGGAGGTGGGGGATCGAAAGAGGGTGGTCACTTGAACAAAACCCGATAACCTAACCTAACCTACCCTATTGATAAAGATATTTAAATAATGTTTTATATAACTTTCTCAATATTTTTATGTATTTTTCCATTAGTTTTACCTTTGAATATTGTTTAAGAATGACTATATAAATATTTACATGCCTAGAAATGTATAAAAATTGGTATATTTATTAACTTTGAACCCCCATAACCTTTTATGGAGGTGAGACCGCCACGAACTTTTTATGGTACAGTGGTGGGGGAGATCTTTTCCGATCCCCCCCAACCCAACCCCCTTGGGGGATGAGGGGCCATCATCTAGACCTTTACCTTTTTTTGTTATTATTTGTTATTTTTATTCGAAATTTTTTATGACAAAAATAATTACCTATGTGTATACTGGTGGTGCGAAACGTAAGTAGAGTAGCTCTAATTGTTAAGACCGACAATGAAAGCAATGATAATTTCTTGCTTACGTTGTTGTGTCTATTTTGGAGATAACGACGAGAGGTGAGAATTGGTCTAATTTTTTCATTTATGCATTTTTATGCCAAATTCGAGATGAAAACTTGTACAACTACACAAGTACACAAACGTACCTTTTTGATATGTAATGTAATATAATGACAACGACAAAGATAATCAAATATACTGTGGTTCTGTACCGGATATTGAATATCAATTCGTTGTTGTGTTGTTGGTGTTAAAAATGCAGTCATATGTACGAGTCATTACGTGTTCCTATTGCCAGTGATAAAACTGTTGGCCCATTCATAAGCACTACACAAATAACTTATTCATAAATCGGGAGATATTAAGACGACGACGACGTTCCTTTTAATTCCATCGAAAGCGGAAATGAATACAAAATGAGTGCAACATCGGCATTCCGCGCAACATTCATAATTAAAAAGAAAGAACCTGATGAAAGGATTGCTATCAAAATTAACCAAACTATCTAGGTACTATGTAGTGCTACTACTACGAGCGAACTTCCTCACCCCTATTTACGCTCCTAGTAAAATCATTTTTATATAAATTGCTGACGTTGAGGCTTATACTTCCTTTATATTACAAAAAATGAAATTAATTATGAAGTGAGTATGATTTTCACAATTCAAAACAAAAAATGTATTGGGATCCGTCAAATGGGAGGAGCCTAAAAACATGGCGCCGATTAGGGAAAATTTATCGTAGTTCCTATAGTGTACCGTGCAATTTCAAAGTTTTTAAATTACGATAAAATGATAAGTATTGACACAATATGTGATTGGGCTGACACAAACCCTCGGAAAGGAAATTTCGTTGAAGGTGAGCGTGTTTTTAATGCCAATCACATTATAAAATTCGGAAATAACAAATCCGGAAGCTAGCCTTCAAATTCCGTCAAGTTTACTGCCTACTTTTTACAAACTTCGGATTTAAAACTTGCACGTGCAAAGCCGATTTAAGAGAACGTTGCAAACACATTATTGCAACTTTGTTGTATTGCAGCAGGTAAGTTCTTACATATATAAAACGGTTAGTTTTTATTGGAAAGTAGTTAATGTAGGTGAAGAGTGAAGATCTATGTCTGAAGTGCTATTGTAGCTTTTCACTGAACATATTAACTTTTTATTTGATTTAACTTTAGAAGAAAACTTCTTCGACTCCATCATCAAAAAAATTTTTACTTTTTTAACATGTTTTATTATTTTAATAAACAATTTTACAATTTGCGTGCACAGTTCCTATGTAAATTTTTCCCTCATTCGAGTCATAAATTTTGGCACCAGATGGTGTATGCCCATTTGACGGATTCCAATAATATAAGTCACTTTTTGGTGCTGCTACGCAAACATCACATTACCCCAAGATCCCATCCCCCATTGCCACATCTTATTACGCTACCGCAAGACTCACTCTCCCTGCGCGGTGTGACCTAATGTATATGAACTGAATCAGTAAGTACGAAATATGCACTGTTTACATATACATATATACATGGAATTAAGAACACTTGTAAGTCTTTCGTGAAGTTTATGTAACCTTTATGATAACTTATCCATTCATTTGCCTTGCCCCATGGCGATTCATTTTGGTAACTGATGTACGCTTTTAAATCATTTATTTTATTACTATAAACAATTTCATTTTGTTATACTAATTAATATTGTTTATTGACGTTTTTCTCTCTCCAAACTTACATGTTTATAAAACTAGATAAAATCATCGGGCTACTAGATCCAGCGATCAGAAAATTTGTAATTTACTTTGTACAACTCATTCTCTTTATCGGTTAGTTAGAACTGATTTTAAAGTAATAATGCAATAATCTGCGATACACGATTTATATACCATCAAAATATAATGTATATTATTATTATTACATGCGGAATTTTATATTCTACTTCTTTTGTATGCGTTTATCAGTTATGTTGTATACCATTGTCTGTGAATTCTCTGCTCTTTATTATTCAACCTTTTTCTCGGTAAACCGATCGTCGAAAAGGTAATTTATCTTCCATTTTTGTTTTCGATCTCCGCGTAAATCGTTAACCTGGTGCTGGTTATTATACGAAGTCTGGTCCCATTCAGTCTTCTCCCGGAACATTTTACATTGTAGTTAAGTCTTTACGAGTGTCTCCACTATCCAGGATTCACATAATAAGAGATCGGTGAGGGCGAGAGCCGTAGCCGAGCCGGTTCGACCGGAAGCCGGTGGGTGTCCAACGTTCCGAGAAATGGGCGACCATTCCATACTAGATACCACGCCAAGTCCTGATGGTGTTATATTCACACATACACAAATGCACACATGCACGTCTCCTTTTTCCTTTTCCTTATCCATCGCTTACCGTTCTGTTATTGTTTGAAAGTCACACTATGTGCAGCTACTTTAGTTCAATACCGAGGAGGCATAGGGATAATGTGTATTCTGACCACCATGACAATGATAATAACGAGTTAACACCGAAAATTCGAAGAACAATTGCTATGAAAATAATTCGTGAAAGTTTTCTGAAAAATACCTAGATAAATAGATATATAAAAACACTGTGCATAAAGCATAAACCATGTGGCTTTTTTTAGCTACTTCTAGACCTCTGCCCTCACATGGTCTACCATATTTTGACATTGGACCCCCCTCCGACAACAATGTTGTATTTTTAGCATTATCAAAACCAAATTTTTACAGAAAGTAAAAGTTTTGATTTACATATCGAGAACTACCAAAATCCAAGGTTTCAAAAAGTATGACGGAGGACCATTTTCCATAAGGATCTAGGGGGTCCTTTATTTTAATTTTACTTTTTCAATCAAAGCCATCTGAAACATTAAATGTTGGCGTTAGTCATTCTTGTAAACTCTCTATCACAAGAAATTCAGCATCTTCATACCTACTATAGGCGAAGACGTTAATCCATTTCAACATCTTCTTCGATCCATCAAAAATCTTTATTTTTTATCAATAAAAGACCTTGCGTTTGGTTCAGGATAGCCTTTTATCACACCCTTCCTTCTTCTACAAAGCCATATGGTTTATGCGAAGTCCAGAATATGGAGTGCCTTCATTTTAACTTTGTTTCAGTATTCAGGAATTCGCATTGGACCCGTCGTGAAGAAAGATGTCATGAAAGCTTCAATTATGTTAGAGCACGATAGTCAGTAAGTATTTTGAATTATTTTCTTTTAAGCAGTATACCTAAGAAGTTTATCAAAATTTCCATTAAAAACTCACTGACGTAACTCTAGCGCCCGCCACATCTCATACAGCTACAAAACTATCCAAATAAATAATCACATGTAATTGTAGTTTAAGTAAAAATATTTCGTTAATCTGAAAATACCCATTATGTAATGTTTACATGCGTATATAATAGATCTTTTTTTTTAATGTATCCTGTGTCTTATCACAGTTTACTTTTTCTTATTACTTGTTCAAAATCACGAGATATTCAGTTGGCTTCTGTTTTAACAGTTCTCACGTGTCCCGCAGGCAGTTTTATCCTAAACAAATAACAGATAAGTAGAAAACCTGGATACATTATGTATGGGTCCGTTTGTTTGTTTATTACATCAGCCTTTGTTGAGGCAGTGGTTTTCGAAGATTTATTTGTCAAGACTTGGGACACCCCAGGTGTTTAACAAAATGGTTAAAATTCTATGAAATACAAACAATGTCCGGCTAAATTTCTTGGAAAATTTGATAAACTAAAAGTTTTGAATTGGAATATAACCACTACCTTGTAGAGAGTGTTTTTTTTTACTTCTTTTTAAAGGTACGCTACTATTTTGGCATTTGATGTTAAAGTTGAACGTGACGCTCAAGAATTGGCGGACAATTTGGGTGTGAAGATCTTTCAAGCTGACATTATTTATCATCTGTTCGACAAATTCATGGCGTATCGCGAAGAACTTAAGCAGCGAAAGCGCGAAGAGTTTAAAAATATAGCAGTCTTCCCATGCAAACTCAAAATTTTGCCGCAGTTTGTGTTCAATTCAAGAGATCCCATAGTTTGCGGCGTGATGGTTGAAGCTGGAATTGTCAAAGAAGGGACTCCTATTTGTGTGCCGAGCAAAGAGGTATGTTTTTCGACCACCCTCATCCCCCATTTTGGTCAAAGATTTTATTCAAACAATCCAGAACATCTTTAATTTTCCAACTTAACGAAAAACGTTGCTATTATTCTTAATCGAATTTTTCATTGTTTCAGTTTGTTGATCTGGGAATCGTAACCAGTATCGAAGTTAATCACAAACCCGTCGAGTCGGCTAGAAAAGGAATGGAAGTGTGCATCAAAATTGACCCCATTCCGGGTGAATCTCCAAAAATGTTTGGAAGGCATTTTGATGAAACTGATTTCCTCGTCAGCAAGGTAGGATTTTTTTAGTTAATTGTTTGCATGTACATTGATTACAAAACTTGAGAATTTTCTTCTTCCTCTGGAATTTTTCGAACTACGAAAGGGGAAAGTTTCAATAAAATACTTGGACATATTGCAAACTTATCGACAGATTTTATGACTTATAAGGGAAATAATTTCTTTTTCGTACCTGATAACTCGAATAACGTCTTGGAATAAACAAAACAAAAAACCTTTTATACTGCATCATTAACTAAATAGGTACATACAATGGAATTCGTTTATTATGACTCCGCCTATATTGACCAACCGCTTAATATGAAGTAATTGCAGTGTTAAGTTTGGTTTTCATATTAAATTCTTGGATATAATGACTCCGTTTAAAATGACATATCGTTTATTATGACTGATTCTCAAGAAATCATATCCGGCTATAGTGACCCAAATGATTAATAATAACATTTTCGCTCATTTTTCTGACCCTTCTTATGTATAATGATATTGCAATTCATCATTCTTTTTCTTTTTCTGTTAATAAATATATACAACTTGTAGTTTTTCTCTCTATAAAACTAAATAATTAGCCAAAATAGAAAGTTGTTTATTTTCGAAGACTATGCTTTGTAAGACGCCCGCTTAGTACGACGTGTTTGTCATTTTCCTTCGATGTCATTATAAGCGGATTCTACTGTACTTTGCGCTGACAATGCGCGAAACACGTGTCTGCAGTTTTTTAAATAGTTGTGGTTATTGAGGTAAGTCCTTTTGGTTATAATATCAGGTACACTTACATTCGTCGATATTTTAAATAAAATATAAAATTTTTACAATTTGTGTTTAGTATGTTCTATAACGTGTCTATGACGTTTCGAAGTTCGGATCAGATTTAACATAATTTTCTCGTTTTTATACGTCGAGCGTCAAGAGTCGATATTGTGTCTTGAAACAAGAGCGAATATTGTACAGATAGATATATCTCTGTTTTTTTTATTTCGCCCACCTTGTAAAATAAATACTCCGGTTCTATTGGTTGTTGTCGTCGATGGCAATCAAATTCGTTATCTGGAGACGACAGTAACGTGGGCGGATTTGAATCAAGGCGCGTATCATTATCGACTTATTTTTCTCAATAAACGTCACTCAATTTTATATACTTACTCAAGTTCAGCTATTTCGGGCTGGTCTTTCGCTCTAATTCGATTTCATTCTAATTCGGGAAGAACGAATCGCGGCCTCACCTTCCCCTTCCGTTTCGGTGCCGCAATGTTCAACTCTCATTCATTGATCAACCCCCATATTCTGCAGTATCATCGGAAAGTTCATTGATCCCAACCTCGTTTACGCGATCAATAGATATGCCCTACTACTACACTGCAGATTTTCAACCGACACAATTTTATCAAGCGGGGGTGGACACGGCACAATTGCAGCCATCAATTCTTGAAACCAAAATAGGCATAGTAGAGAACTTGTTATCTACAAAAATATTTTAGCTCAAGACTGTAATATGTGCAGTTGTAGAGTTAGTATTTTTTATAATATTACTTAATAGGATTAGACGTTAATGTTAGGCTGGTGTCGAAAAAAAGCACATGTTATAACTGTTTGGAATTAGAAAATACCACAAATGGCGCAGTAAACGCCATCTGTAGCACGATGCTACATTTTAGGATGTAGGATGTCCTAAAATTCAGCATCGTGCTACAGATGGCGTTTACTGCGCCATTTGTCGTATTTTCTAAAACGCGCTGTTAAGACAGCAAGTAAAAGTTGGTCTGTGTTCTACTGTCGAGCTGCCTGCGACGCGCTGATGAGATCCAAAAAGATCGAAATCGCGATCCGCGTCTGACAGGATATAGACCACTTCGAAATTATTTTATTTGGAATTAACTTATATCATATGTCTTTTATATTTTTTTGCTGCAGTTGCTATTTGCCGACTGGAAGCTCTTCTTTTTCATTCCCCGTGTCGACTCTATCCTTCCCACCCCTCCTCGTCTGCGAACTTTTTCCATTAACAAAAGTTCTGGAACACCCTCGCACTCTTTAACCTACTTACTTATAACCGCCCACCCCCACCCTCTTCGTTCCTATGTTTCGCTTGTTTGTATGTGTTGTGTATGTGCCCGATTCATTCTGACCGACAATGAAGTTTCTATGAACGGAAGTACTCACTGTACGAACGGCATGAATGAAAATAACAAAAGAATATAAAAAGGAACAATATATATATACAATGTATTTTTCTTATAATTAATAATCTGCTTCCGTTCATGTCCATTATGTAAATTACGTTTCCCTCATAGGGATTTGGACAAAATTAAGAATCAAATAAAGAAATTGAAATCTGATTGAACGTTTCGCTACATAATGACATCTTTTTTAGCAACTCAATTTCTACTCATTCTTATCATTAGTAAGAACCTCATAATAATTGTTTAGTGAACAAAAATTCATACTGGATATTATTATAAATTTTTGTTGACTGACAAGGCTTTTAAAAAATTTAAAGAAAAGAGTAGTGAGAGAATTGAGTTGGTGAAAAAACTGCAATATAAATTTCAATTTCTCCTTTGATTCTTAATTTTAGTCAAATCTGTATGAAAGAAACGTAATATTTAATAACTAAAGAAAATATAAATACAAGGAAAATATAAAATTTTACACTTATAGGTGGATAAAGCTTTATTTTTATTACTTAGTTGGTCGATGAAGACTGACATTTCGGGAGAAAACCACGTTAGAGTGTGGGCAATGTGCCAAAATTTCGCGAATGTTGCAGATCACTTCTGTATATATAAGACTAAAACAAATTCTGACGAGATTTTGGTTGATATTGGGGAGGAATTAAAGAAAAGGAATAAAAACTAAGGCCGGAATCAGGATGGTATCAAAACCAGATTCAGCCATAAAAATCATACCTACAATCCATATCGATAAAGCTTCTTTTAAAAGTCTATGTATAGATATATACTATACTTTTTCAGTAAAACCAATTTCTTAAACTGACACCAGTTTTTAAAGATAGTTTTTGCAACTTAAAAGACTAGGAATTTAAAACATTTTATTAAAATAACTAAAATATCTAAAAAACGGGGGCTTTAAATCTGGTTCTTCCCCGTTTTCTTTCAAATTTAGCATTCTTAGAAATCAACTTAAATAAAACGATAGTTACGTTAGCTATTGTAAAAAGAATTGATTCTTCTAACAAAGAGACATTTCTTCGAATTTTTGGTCTCACTTATCTAAATAATTTAATTTTATGAAACAGTTAAACAAAGAAATCTATCTATAGCCTTTTAGTTGTGCTTCAAAGGAACTGATCAAATTTAATTTACGTAACCTTTCAGTAGGTGTCAACTTACTGCCATTCTTTTTTAAGGGGAAAAAGAAAATGTTGATGTTCTGTAAAGCACGAAGAAAAAAATAGACAATAATTTTATTTTCACACTCGTTCAGCTTATTTATAGCATACAGTAGCTACCAACTAGCTCATCGTTTCTCATTAAAATTCGAAATTCATTAAGTTCGTAATACATAATCAAATCGACAAAAAACTCATTAACACGAGAAGTTACCGGTGTTAAAAGTCGACTAATAATGTTCATACCGATAGCAGTGGCGGATCGTCATGAAATGAAGTGGGTGTTATACAAATGCTTAGTCGTCAAATATTTTTTGAAGGTGAATGCAATACTACGAAACTTGTCTGTAGACTTCTCATTGAAGGTATCAATATTTGGGTATAAAATTATGCACCGCAGTCAGTTTACACTCTGCTGTGATCCAAATAACCCTAAATGTGATGGGTCAGTTGCAGACAGCCATAAAATGATTGCCCCCTGCGTCTAACCAGTACTAAAAATGTTTTGTCCCAAAAAAAGAATATCTTAAAGTTACTTCAAATAGTTCAACTCATAAATCCATCGGAAGTAATAATTTTTCGTTTAATCTTGCATATTTTGTATTGGTCTTAGTCCTTGGTCTTATTGGTATAGGGTGTAGTCTCGATACACAAAATTATTAGATTGTAGCGAGCACGAGCGTGTTTGTGTGCGATCAGGCACGCGTGTGTGTGAGCGGCTTATCGATTCGCCGACTAGCCGCGGGCGCCTTTCTTCATGTGCGCCGTATTTGTAAATGTGTGTGTCGTACCTGCGTTCTGGGAAAGCTGTTAAACAGTTCAAGGAAAAAATAAACTATCCGGATGTTTCCAGAAGGTTCCCGAAAGTAAACAAAAAAGTATTTAAAGGAAGAGACGATCGCCGAGAGAAGTAGAAGTAAATTGACCGTTGCAGAAGTGAATCGAGAAATAAATTGACAGTGATAGAATTGAAATAAACAGCGCAGTGAATAGTGATATATCAACAGTAGTGTAAATAAATAGAATAATTCATCACCTAAGTTTAGTAATAATTTAATAGTGTTTTAAGTTCCTTAATAATTAGTGTAAATAAATAGTTTTGTCGTTAGCAGTCTTAAAAGTTAATTTTGTTAAACCCACGAACATTACAATGTTTATAAATACATAAATATCGATTTCTTTGGCAGTTCTTAAGTACATATGCATAAGCCGCCCCTGTACGTAAGTGTATGTATATATGCGACAGAAAAGGAAGCGAGACGTGTTTTATTAGGTTTGGGGTGTCATTATTAAAATGAAAAGATGCGAGCAACCGCCGACACAGGCGTCACATCCGGAGGAAATTGCGATGTTTTAAAAGTTTGTGTACACAGTTGTTGGTTGCTGAATGAAGGGGCATTGAAAAGGGAAAGACGTTAATCTGCACTTTGCAAATTACTCACGCCAGCTTTAAAACGAAACGGTAAACGACTTCTTCCCTTGTCCGTTTGAATAGAATCGTTCCTACCGGAACTTCGGTTTACGGTCCAGAAAAAGATGCTCGTACACATCCTCAGAAAAGGACCCTTCTCAATGGATAGAGGAAACGGCGTATCCGAATCTCGCACATTCTAAAATATTTTGTATTTTGTGTATTGAACGGAAAAGAAACAACGGAAATGTTGTACAGGGTGACACAGTTTAGATATCTTATAAAAAGAACTAATTTAAATAAAATGATCGATTACTCGATTTCATTATTTCTCGATCAATATGTTAGGTTAGGTTAGGTTATTAATAATTAATAAAGTCGTAACTAAAACTATTCTGTGTCAATTTAAGTGCCTCTCAATCTAAGAAGTGCCTGAAATGTTTTGTAAGTTTATGGTGAAATTACAAATAAAAATACAAATTAACTTCTAACATTACAATTAAAAGTTTAGTTAATTAAAAAAAGACAGCCTAGCGAACGCTGTCTGTAGAGATTTGCAACGAGCGTAATAGTTTATTGCGATATTAGCACATTCAGTAATTTAATTACCTTACTAGTTAATTTTGTGGTTATTACTTACTGAAATAGCAAACTATCTCCACAGCCATAAAATTTTAATTTAAATTGATGCAGGAAATACCTATTTAGTTTGATAATAAATTAGACGTTAAAGTAAGCGAAGCTTCAGTGGAGTTCTGTCTATTAAAACTACATAAATTTTTGAAATCAACATGATATTATCTTACAGCTTAAGAGTTTCTAAAATTAATTTTTAATTTAGAATTACGATTAAATGAGTAAATCTCACTATATAACTGTCAATAAAAAAGTTCATTACTTTCCCTGATTCCAAACGTTTCTCTGTGTAATAACCTACCAAAGTAAAATAGTCAATTACTAATAATTTTAGTTCCAATCGCTGTTTATAGTTTTCCTTTTCTTTATATTTTTCTCTCTTCAGTTCTTTGTCATGTAACATATGGCTTCAATCTATTTCAACAAAGAAACACAAAGAAAATTATGTGAAAACTTTTTGTCGTTTTATATCTTAATTGGTAATAAAAGTTATGTTTATGGCTATCTTGTTGTTTATATTAGGTTGTTAACATCCTCATATAAAAAAAAAGAGAAGTATACCTAATCGGTTTCGATATTCACAAAATTGGATTAAAAAAGGTCGTAACCATTCTCCTTAAATTGGAAATTACACGTTGAGAGGTCGACTATGGCGTAGCGTCTCAAAATAATTGCGAACTACCTTCCGTCATTCCATTGACAAAATTACAGCTTGTTCTTCTGAAATCTCATAGTCAAGTTGAATTATAATGTAGCCACCACCAATTTGTTGTCTTGTAATAACAGACATTAAAGATGAGTGGACAATTTCTGTCCATTGTAGTCAAAATACTATTAAAATCGGTCCGATATATTTGTAAAAGTTGTCTTATGTTGTTTAGGTGCATTTAAAGTCCTTTGACGATGTTAGCATCTTATCTTTTTGTCTATTACGTAAATATGTCAATATGTAATCATTATTTTCTTAATAAAATGATCTAGTCAAGACAATAAGGATTAAATACTAAATAAACACGTCTACATTTTTAAAAGGATAAACTAGGTACCTGACTTATATTTATATCAACGCACAACCCAAACCCCTGGGACTTGAAAGTTGAAATTTCCTTATACGACTTAGGCGAGCACTAAATAAAAACTATTTAAAATTTAACCCCTAAAATTTGATGTATCCATCAATTGTGCAATTATTATACAACAGTGTCATCCACTACAAAATGATTTTCCAAATAGCACCCCCAAAGGTGTACATTGGGGGTTTGCGATAACATACATAATCGAATTTTACGCAATAAATTCATAAAGACCCTTGAAAATATTTCGTTGATAATACTTATTTTGCTCAATATTGGGGTTTGGTTACATATCATCAATATTCAGTAAACATTTTTGTGAAAATTTTCTTTTTTTCTGTTAAACTACAAATCGAACCTATAATAAGAATAATTTTAATGAATGATTTATAGTGAGATCTACGTAGTTATAACCTTGTTCGCATTTCCCTTCGGTATTAGAGGAATTTGTTGGCATGGCAACTCTATTTTTAGCTCGGACTCTATTTGGTTCCCTTCTCCCTTATCTAGGTAAAGAGGACACAGGGGAATAAGAGAGCAGCGAACTCTAAATAGGTTTCATCTCTCCTGACTTGAATCGTTCAACAATTCAAAGTTACATACATATATATTTACCCATATATTTGCAATGGCGGATTTTATACTAATGGCGTTTGCAATAAAGTATTTCATTACGACAAAAGAATTCACTATTAATTGTTGTAAATTACTCAATAAACACCTGTCGAAAAATACGCCCGATAAAGAAAATTTCGGGAAGGTTCTGGAATTAATCAATTTCAACTTTATTCGAACACTACGTATTTGGAGACCACTTTCTTGTAGTTTACATTTTGAAATCAGAATAATTTTCATGCACAAATTGTTGTAAATAGGTAAATCTTTATACTTTAAAAAGTTAGAAGTATGTAGGTGGATAGGTAGGAATTTTATAAAAGCGCTCGTTTTTTTAAATCGTTTTGTTTTGTCTGATGACGTATTTAATTAAAAAGAAAAGAAAACTAAAAGCTATTAATTTTAAATTTCATTTAAGCTTACCTGTGCGTAGGTAGGTATATCTATGTGGATTATATGGATCAGTAAATGTTACCGACAGGCTTATAGGAATAGGTACATAAATGAGAGTCCACCCAACCGGACGCGCCAGCTATGAAAGCCGGAAGTAGGGCAGATGTGACGTCATTCGCGACCTCATCAACTTAGCCGTGTTTACACCAATTTGCGAATATATTTAGCTGTAACATTATATCTTCTGCTTTGTGAATGTACATAGGTTTTAAAGCAGGACTTCGACATTAGGATTATTAATGTTATATGCAGTTTTATTATAGATTCTATTTTAAATTCCTTCATTGCTAAATTAATTTGTAGAGGAACGAAATAGGTTAACTTAAGGTCACAACTCCCTTAAAACTGTAAACCTTATAGGTATGCATCACATACAGTTTTGTTTCTTAGATAGCTTTATTTTGTATAAGGTCTAAGATCCTCACTTTGTTTCACCATTAAATAGGCTATTGGAGTGTAAGCTGATATTGTTTTTTTTGTTTTTTTACTGTATTTTAATGTCTTGTAAAAGAAGCTAATGGTAAAGGCTGCACGTGGCCCAAATAAAAACTAATTAGAAGTAGACGTTAGTATAAGAATCACTAAGCGACAGTGACAGATTTATTACGAAAATGCATCAGTCATTGTCAATTCCAGTATGTGTACCTATTTGTTCACATTGAATAAGATGAAGCCAACTACATTCCTAAAACCATTGTCGACGAAAGTTGTGATTGTTGTAAGAAGGGAATGTCGAGCTATTATCGTACCGGGCACGTTTGAAATAAATTTGTTTACTTTTTCTCCCTCTCGTATCGTAGGAAACGTATTTAATGATTATTTTAAAAACATTCCGGAGAGTCAAAACACATCACTGGAAGATATTTCTATTTTGAATTTGATATTTGAACGGGGAGAAATTCCAAGCACCGCATCGACCAACGCCAAGAGATCGAGGAATAGTTTTCGCTTTTTAAATGTGAATCTGAAGATTCACTGGCTTTAGAATTGTTACCCGTTCTACTAGACATGTTTTGTACATTTTGCACGTTTATATTCAATTTGATATATTTTTTTTTGTTTATTTTAACCTCGAGGAGGGGAAATCTGCTAAAGACACCCCCAAGGGGGGTAGTGTCGGATTCACTCCTGGTGGGAGCGCCTACCGACTAAAAACCCTCCTCGAGATGGTAGTTCAACCTAGTGGTTATGACTACCGGGAGAAGATGGTAGAAATTTGGGGAAGGGGAGAGGGTTGAGTGGGAGATAGGTAAAGAGGTGAGGGAGGGAGGGAGGTTGGGGAGATGAACTATGGGTGGCCCAACACTAAAGGGAAGGATGGGCACTCGCGCTAAAAAGCGAGATTCAATTTAATAAAAAAAGTATAGCTTATCATACTTCATTTACTTTCTCTAGCGATGTTCCCCTTCTAATGTTTTGGATGCGCGCTGGCAAAATCGTAGGTAGGGAGAAAAAAGCTCATTATACTCTCGACTCTTGTTCATTAAACATACTTTTTCATACTGTACCTGCCAAAAGTTTTGTTCAATTATGAATAGTAGTGCGAGTCGAAAACAAGCGTTTAAGCCTTTAATAGGTCTTCAAATATAAATAAACATCTCGTTGATATTTTCAGTAGTAATTGGTACCAATAACAGCAAATTTGAGCAATGCAGTTGTAGTGAATAAAATGGTCAATTTTTCGGTGTAGTACTGTACGGATTATACGCTCCTCACCGGTTAAGAGTTTGGTCGAGAGTTGTCTCCTTTCTTTTCTGGCCTTGTGCTGTTCTTTTCTACTTTGCGCCGGTCAAACTGAAGGTCACATCGCTACAGAAACTAAACGAAGTATAATATCGTCGGATATTTTGCAAAAATAAGATTCTGCAGATCTTATCACCCAAGCACTTAAAGGGTGTGTATTATGAAGACTAAAGAACTTCGCTAGATCCTTACGGAAAATGGCCCTCTGTCCAACTTTTTGAATCTTTGGATTCTGCAAGTTCTCGACGTGTAAATCAAAAGTCACAATGGGCACTAAGTCGTAAAAGCTCATCTTTTTGAAGTATGGTTCTTTAATGCAACGTTAAGAACTATATCTGTCCATCGAGATTTTTGATCCACACGTTGAGAACTATCAAAATTCAAAATTTTAAACAATTTGATATTACTTCTATCTTAAAAATGATGATAAAAAAACCTCGGTATACTGCCATTTTTGAGGAAGTTTGATTTTTTGAAGAAATGTAAAATTTTGACAATTTTTCTTTAATGTATTTAGTGGAAAACCGAGTATAGGTTGAAAAAATATATTCCGTACCTTCACCAAATTTTGTTCGTTGAACATTTTATTGCTTTATATTTTCCCAACCTATATTTGTCTTTGTTTTGTTCCAGATTTCGAGACAGAGTATAGACGCATGTAAAGATTACTTCCGAGATGATCTCCTAAAGACAGACTGGCAGTTAATGGTGGAATTAAAGAAACTATTTCAAATATTGTAGCTAAACGCAGTTCTTCTTCAAGGTACACAAACCATTTACAGTAATAATAATTTTATACTGTTATAACTACATATTTACGTTTAAAATCACTTCACAATATCTCTTGTTGCGTTTTTTAATGCTTGATGGAACGTTGGGAATTCAAATATTTATATACTTACATACTTAACGTTTAGTTAGTGAAATTTTATTGTAACTGAGTGACTCTCGAAATTATCTATATACCAGAATATTAATTAATTATATTGTGTAAATTGTAATTAAAACGAAGGTCGAACAAAATTAATGGTTGAAAATTGTGCCAGGGCTGTAGTCAAATTTTACATACGCTATCTATATTGAAAAGTATACTTATTTTAAGAAGTAAAAATAATTGTATAAATGTATATTTATTGATAATTACTATTACAGTTGTCGTATAACGGAAATATTCTCCGTACTTATTGACGAAATTATAGGTATCTCTCAAAATAAAAGCATTGCTGCCCTCTTGGTTATTGTATTTGTTGAGGATTATTTAAAAATAAACATTATTTCATTTCAATTTTCAACAGTAGTAAATCTCTACCTTTTTCTATGGATACATAAATGGTTTTATTTATCTGAAAATTTGAATATTCTTTATCATTTAGAACTCTTAGGATTAATGTAGCCATCTCACACTTCTTGATTTAAGGGTTACTAGCATTACAAATACGGCTTTTAGATTTTTTACGGGAGGCAATGAAAACGGCAATATTTTATAAAAAAAACTTTAAATTTTTATAAGAGGAAACATTAACATATATTCATATATACGGGAACTTTGTTTACCCCTAATTAATTGTGCTACTTAAGGGTTACCAAATTTTTGTTGCGCGAAAAACGGGGGTAACCCGTAAGATNTTCGATAATCTTCTTGTTAGCTTTCTGTTTTACAATCCGTTTGTATTTTATTTAGTCTACATCCAAAAATGTCCGAGAATTCTGACCAAATAACTGACATGTTTGATAACGGTTTGCAATCAAGATGATGGATTTGAAAGTCAGCGAATGGGACATTTTGTAAGTACGTAAGCAAATATCTCCACAGCAGATGGATTCTACAAGACACTTCGTTTTCGTGATAATAAAATAAGTTTGCTAGATAAATAGAAATCGAGAGTTTGTTTTAAAGTGTATTTGTGTATCATCCAAAAGTGTTTGTGAATAGTTAAAATGAATTCATCTTTATATGGTAAGAAAAAGAAGTAACAACATGGTCATGTGTTTAATGAACATTTCCGTTTGGCGAAATGCAACAAGTCTGATTCACTTAAAAGGTAAGTCAACTTTTAATTTTATAGATCGTCTGTCGCACTAGAGCAATATATCCTACCCATTTTTTTTACCATTATCCCTTATTATATTAAATTATATGATATGGGAATACAAAACCAATACAGCATTTTTTTATTTTAAGCAAAAGACATTTTGCACATCAACTGTAAAATTTTATATATTTTGCACTCAAGTCGGTAATGTAATTAGATTTTTGTTCTATTATCGAAGGCCTACGACTATCCTTGACGAACGGGAACGGTAATTTTCATTTCTATTCTGTAGTTAATTAAACCGGGGACTCATTCATAAGTTACTTTAATCAAAACGTAATTATTTCATCTAGGGTTTGGTAGCAAAAAAGAAATGGCAGGGAAAATCTCTAGAGGACTAAGCCCCTGAAATTGATACATGGTTTATATATGTACATGTATATACATATAAATATGTACTGTACATACATGCATTTAAAAAGGACAACACGTGTGACAATTTCATTATTTAATCGAGTTTAGTGTATATGATAAAATGCATAGGTATATTTTTTAGAAAAAACGTAATAAAAATTAATTAAAATAATTAACTGCGGAATAAATATATCCATCAGACCTATTAGAAGCAGAAACAGATGTTAAGAGGAGTAGAGGTAGACCTGAATTAGATTATTGTTCATAATTAAGGATGTAAGATGTGCTAGATGTAGGAAAATGCGCAGATTAGTGAACTAAATATTCCTTGAACAATTCTTGTTATGTATGGGATTGTCTACTCTATTTTGAGTCTACTAAAATGAAAACAAAGATCAACCCAACAAGTCAAAACTTTTAATTTCAGGGTTTAGCAAATAAAAACCGATATTTTTAATTTTAATGTGAAAATTCATTTTCAATTTTTATCCATTACAAACTACTTCAGGCTAATAAGGGAAAATTTTTGTTGCTGTTGTCACACCCTCGCCGGGGATGGAACCCAGAACCTTTGGTTTTACGCACCAATGCTCTGATTGCTCCCGGGTTCGATTCCCGACGAGGGTGTGACGACAGCAACAAAAATTTTCCCTCAACCTGATATCGTAGATAGTATTACTACGAAATTTATTCCCCGAATTAGATACCAACAACAACCAACTTGCCGTACGACCGGTTTTCTCCACCCTAATGAGCCCCGATTACCTGAGTAACCCCTTGCTACAACCGAAAGTCTACTTAACTATGTACTTTTCTCTACTACTTTAATTATTTTTTTTAAATCTTCAATTTTACAAATGCCTTCTTCCTTCTCTTCTTCGGTTGTAGTTCCTATCTTATATTAATTTCTCCTTCTGTAGTATAGTTATTTTAGTGTCTATCATTCTTTTTTTTGCACTCATTATTTTCTCTTTTTATTAATTTTTATCGTAGATTCACGCTTCTTTTTTTCAACCCTACATTTTCATGCATGTCTTGTCGTTATTCACTGTCAGTTTTTTTATTCTTTCTCGCGAACCTAACTTTAAAAACGAATTCGTTTTTATCGTTTGTTTTCGCCCTTCCCTTATCACCCCACTTTCCACCCCTCTTTTTTCCAACCCTTGCTTGGTGCTGGAGTGCTGTATAAATAGCCGTGCATTCCTCACTACCAACAAGGCTCCCATNATAAAAAGGCAATAAACTGTAGATTACGCATGATACCTGTTGCATGTCCATTATTATTTATGCTTACGAGAATAATTTGTTTTCACAGATACGAGATGTATGGTGACATTTACGTATGTATTTATCTATATTATAAGTAGTCACTTAAAAATTAAAAAATTAGCATTAATCTATAAACAATAATAATTTGCTAATCGTACCTAGATTCGTTGGCTACACTCCCGTTTACTTTAATTTGGTATTAAACCAATTATAAATTAACACTTATGGCAACTACTAAAAAAATAGCAAAAAAACAACTGTCCACATTATCGATTTTTCACTTTAAAAAATCGTTATATTTAATATGTGGTAATTTCTATCATTAGCAATATAAACATACATAAAAATATAAAACAGTAATAGGTATGATACATATTCATTAAAAGACAGTTCTGGTTCATGGGATAATTTTTCCGTAGAAATTTATAAAAACCGAATTTCAAATTCTTGTAGCCATCTGTTAGCCGTCACTCACTGTAAATTGTTTATCATTTCCACTTACTTGCGAATGATTAAATTTGGTTTTTCATAATTATTTCGCCACTTATATTTTTATTTTATTGATGAAGAAACCACTTATTCATATCTTTTTTTCCATTCTAGAAAACTCTAAACTCTTTAATGATTTTATTAAGGCTAATCGGACATAACATGTATCTCTCACAACTGTAGAGATTAGATCACTTTTTGACTAGATTTTGCGAGACTGTATTCTTTGCCCATCGTTTAATTCTTGAATCATAAAAGCGACGATTATCCAAAATGGATCTGTTGAAAAATTCAGGGAATATTACATTTTACTTAATGAAAATACTTAACCAAATCATTCACTTTTATGATATTATTAAAAGCATGAAAACTATAACGTGTCTTCCCAATATCGCCTTTCAATTTTCAATTACACTGTTGAGAGCTCATATTTCTTTGGTTAATCAAGTCTTATTTTTCGAGTACGAGGTGAAACCAAAAATTTTGTTGAATATGGGAGAGATACGCGACAAAAATTTTCGATTTCCAAGTTTAAGCTTAATACTTAGGACTTTTTTTTTGGGTGGTTTAAGTCCGATACAACCCAAGACGCCTAGAGTTGTGTACAAATGATAATGTAAAACCACAAGTATAATATTTAATTTCACCTAAATCAAAACGCCTTCAGCACTGTGATATTATTTGTATACATGTGTATAACAACCTGGACTAGAAAGAGTTAAAAATGTCTCACATTACATGCATGGTACCTATATTTCCTATTCGATTTTCCATCATCTGTTCAACAGGAAGCAAAATTTTCTTAGGCTGTACCTAAATACCATGTTTACCAAAAATAATCGCAAAAATTCTCTATTTGGACAAAAATATTCGCGTTAAGCTATATGAAGTTCAGTAGTTTCAGTTGTAAATTTCACGATGTATCGTTAATATATGGACCTGTACATGGGTCAGAACTTTCAGTTCATGGATTTATGCCTACCCGCAGTTATGTCCTTACTTAATACTGTTCGTGGGTTTTAACAAATTAACTTTTTAAACTCACAACGACAAAAACTATTTATTTACACTAATTATTAAGAAACTTAAAAACACTATTAAATTATTACTAACTTAAGTGATGAATTACTCTATTTATTTACAGTACTGTTACTATATCACTATTCTATGCGCTGTCAATTTATTTCTCGATTCACTTCTGCAACGGTCAGTTTATTTCTACTCTACTCTGGCGATCGTCTCTCCCTTCAAATACTCTTTTGCTTCCTTTCGGGAACCTTCTCGAGCTGTCCGGAAAAGTTTCTTTTTCTTTGAATTGTTTAATTGCTTTCCGAAAACGCAGGTACGACACACATATTTACAAATACGGCGCACATGAAGAAAGGCGTCCGCGGCTAGTCGGCAAATCGATAAGGCGCTCACACACACGTATGCCCGATCGCACACAAACACGCTCGTGCTCGCTATAATACATACTTGCATAAAAAAAGATGCTCTGTCTTTGTTCTCAAAATATGCAGAAATTTTATAATAATCTCATGTAATGGTTTTCATTGATTTTAATGGCGCAAAATTATTTTTTTTCCATTCTTTATAATTTCTTCCCGACTGAGTTGTTAATTGTACTGTATCTTATGAATTAATAACACATTAGAAATTAATCTTGGTAGATATAGTGTTGCAGAATCAGTCACACAAGCAGTGTCTCTGTATTTTAATTTTTTTTGACGTACCCTTGTACGTATTTCAAATCGCTACTTGTACTCATAATATAATATCAAGCTCTCGCGCGATTCACTAACGAGCTCGGCTACCTATTTGTAAGTTAATTGCAAAACGTCATTACAAAAAACGCAATGTCCAAATAAGATTTATGGTGTTTGTTCTTTGAAGTATCGCATAATTATAAAGCGATTTTAATTATGGGCCCCTGCGAGGCAACAGGGCAGGTTCTTCATACAATTTGCTCCATCCTTTACATATCCTTCGCAAGTGTATTTACTACACTGCAAAGTATAAGCGGCACATTGAATTGCATAAACAAATAAATGCATACAGGGTGATTTTTTTATGTTACTAGAGCAAAAAAGCGTTCCTTTTGTTAACCAATAGTAGCATTTATATAAAATAAATTTTGTTAAAAATTCTTAATATACAGATTTTACCTTACAAGGACATAATCAGGATCAATGTGAAATATAGTCTGTTATTTTCAATTTTCTACTTTCCAAGTAGAAAATTAAATTGGGCAGCCCAACTGTCATATTAAAGCTCAAAAATGAAAGTTTGACTGCTGTAGAATTTGTTCATAAAAATTAAACGATATCAGTATTAAGTAAACACATAATAAATTGTAAAGACCAAAGGAATGGTAAATACAACAATTATTTATAGAGATTTTCAGTAAAATTGTTAAATACGTAAATACAGGACACATTTGTCACATTTTGATGGACTTTGGGAAAACTTTTGTTTTCTCAGAATGAAGGAAAACAAGTGATTTCGTAAAGGCGCTTTAAAATGCGTATTAAATATTTAAACTTTAAATTTATACTTTAGAACAGTTATCTACCTAATCAAATTTTCTAGAACGCATCAATCAATTTAAAGGGTGAAACAGTTTTATTTAATATATAGCTAACGTTCGCTTTATGGTGTTAAAGCTTCTTCAAGGATAAATGTTGATAAATATTAGGGAACGAATACGAATGTCAATCAATCAATACCTGTAGGAATTTTCAAAAATCCAAAGGGTGTCACATAGGTGGATGCGTATACCGAGAATCTTCCAGTAAATTAATTACAGGAATTAGCATGTTTCGTTTAGTCGCCTGGTGCAACCACCTCTGCCGTGCCTTGCAAAGTGATCTAATAACACAATTATCATGGGGATGACATAATTTCAGCGGTGACCACTTTTACAATGATTAAAGTTTGGACACGTGAGTTCCTAGGATGGGTAGTAAGTATGTTAAAATAATTATTAAACGGAACCACCCTAAGCAACCATGGGTGCCGTCTTTATTGAAATGGGAATCCCCGTGGTAGGCGCTTTTCGCAGGGTACGTAGGCGGGAGGCTGTCCTAGACCTACGCTTTCACGGTCGTCACCGTGGCAACCGCGAGCTCTACACCCAGCTATCGTCCTGCTCCTGTACAAGGATCAAATTTTGCTGAACATACACAGAAAATATGCGTGTATACCTACCGTAACAAAATTTAAATTTGTGTCTGCCATGATCCTAGTGCATCAGAATACTTGTGGTAATTACTGACCTGTCATATACAACTGGGGGTAAGCTAATCCGTAAATCTCTTGTTAATCATTCCATTTCCTATTTTCCGAGTTTCTGAAAATAATCATATATTAGCTTGCACCACTAATAAATATGGACCAATCCCATCATTACATAATCATACATTAGAACCTGAACTTACTGATTAATAATGATAAATGTAAACTGCAATAGTTTTATTATGAAAAAATTGAGTTAGTTATTGTTGCAATTTAATTTTTTATTAATCTTTCCGAAACGGGTTATGTAATGTTCCGACATTTCCCTATAATATATAAAATCCTACATTTTGCTCATTTAAAGAACAATTTAGAATAATTTTGACATTGGCAACAATTAAATAATGATTTTATTAACTTCCCATATTAATTGATTTTGTGACTTACCTATACAATGAAACGGGCAGATAGATATACGTTAGGTATATATTTAAGAAGAACAAAAATGGTAGTATACATACATGTATACCCTGATTTTTATTGTAGTCAATTTAAAAAGAAAAATGAAACGTGAAGGAATTCAGGTTTTCATCCATTATAATACATACATTAAAATTCAGACAATGAAAAGGATGTTGCTATTCAAGTGTGTTTATTTCGAATTTGGTTGCTTTTTCCATTTCGGCCAACACCGCCGTATTGAGACAGGAAGGTGATTATTTTGTTATCTCCAACGTCTACCTCTATTAAGAATTCGTTGTAAATGATGTTCTGTATCCGGTGAAATTCATTATGTTTACAATAACACCTATCTACTTTTAAAAAACAATGTTTTATGAATGAGTTTTGTAAGAATTTATCTGCCAATAACACGCGATAGTATACATTTTTCAACTGATAAAGAATGCAATTTATCTTTAAGTGTATAAGTTAGGCGCAAAGTTCAAAAACTAATGTAACCTAATTTAGTAACAATTTTTGTCTTTTTTTCTGAAAAATTGAACGTAGAAATATACCTACAATTAGAGGTCCATATCAAAATCCGTGTAAAAACTTTTGCTAATTTATGTGTTAGATTAAGGTAGAATTTGGTTAGGTTGCATTACTTTCTGTTTTATTATTTAATTTTATACCTTGACCCCCCAAAATACGAAGAGAACGCACCAGTTGCGCATTCCTGTGGTTTGACTGTTTGCAGGCATTCAATTTTTGTACAAATGTTGCATTTCTCTCTTTGGTCGTAAGCATTTCTCCAATAGCAAAATTAGTCATTATTAGTAAGTAAGATTGATGTGTTAGAAATTTCTTAGACCCCTAAAAGGGTACAACTTACCGGGACACTTTCTTGCTTATTAGGAAAAGAAGAATAGTATTTGTAATCGTGAAATAGATGGTTTCAATAATTCCAATTATGAAAAGACTGATAGAATGAATGCACGAATCAATTGTTAATCATTTTCGAAAATGGAAAAACGTTTGAATATTTATGATGAGAAACTACGTGATTGTTTGCACGTTTCCCTAGTCAATTTAATATAATCAATAAAGTACTCTTAAATCATCATTACGTGCCTTGCTTGCAGTAAAACTGTTATTAATATTGGACTTTCAAACTGCAATTCACGTAACTCATCAGTTTCATATTAATTAAAACAAAAAAACAATTTATCTTTTGCCCAATTGAGTCCAGTCGAAAATTTTTGATTCTAGGCCATCAGATAACTTTTTTTTATAATTTAAAGAAATCAGTAAATTGTTGCAAAAGTAAAGTTGTAGTATCTGAGAGGTTGAGAGAAGGCGTTCGAGAAGTAAAACATTAGAGGCAGTTAGGGTTGCCACCTGTACTTTGTTATAAAGTATTATACTCTATTTCGACTGTGCGTACGCTATACTTTACAAGACACATAAAGTACGTAAAAATACTTTATTTAAGGTCTTAAGTAAACATCATAATTTTGTAAGCGATTATTCGAAATTTCAGAGTATTTTTACATCAATAATATTGCACAGAAAAATGGCAAGGCATATTTACGGAACAACCTGATTTCCCAAATCTATTCAAAGTAGTGTCACTTTTGCTGTCCGTTCCGGCCACTTCAGCATTTACAGAAAGAGTATTCTCTGTTATGAACGCAAAGTGGTGGGACGACAGCATTAAAGCTAATTAAAAATGAGCTTTTGGTTTACTTAAATCTTTGTTTGCCATGTTTAGAGGCTATTAATGTATTTAAGAAGGACAGCAATTTGTTACTGGCTGCTAGGTGTAACAAAAAATATGTTTTTAAAAACAAAAAATAAAATACTTTATTATTCTGCTGAGTACTTTTTTTTAACCTTTTAGTCGAGAAATACTTTATGTAAAGCCTGAAAAGGTAGCAACCCTAGAGGCACTGTAGGCTTTAAGAGAGGCCTTTGAGAAGTAAAATTTTAAAATCAGTGGTGGCTTCAATTCTCGAACACTCCAAAAGTAATTAATCGGAACTGATTGTAAAACAGATCTGCAATTCTTCTATATTGAAAAAGGATACACTGCGGTTTACGACATCCGCCTCTTTCTCGAACACACTGACCACCTTATGTGATTGCATCTGAATTTAAGCGCATGCCAAATCCTTGTGATGCTCATTTCCGTGGCTAGATAATCTTCAAATGCAATTTTAAGATTATTAAGTCTTTTAATAACGTTCCTCCAACATGTTTCTAATAAACATTCAGATTTAGACAAACTTCCTGGCGGCCGTTCGTTTGTTTGCTACACAGTAGGCCGCCATGAATCAGTTTAATCTATTTTCGGACTTATAATTTACGATATAAACGCATACATTCAAACGGCTTCTTTACATACTTACATTTCGACTACAAGTGTTGGTACCTATCTAACATTTAAAGTGTATACGTTACCCACAGTGTCCTAATCGAGTAAAGAAAAAAATATTGTAAGCCGAAACATGGACCATACAGTCTGAGATTCCCTAAATTAAATTTACCCTTCTTTTATGTTCAAAAATTTGAAATTCATTAGTCATATGTTCAATTATCTTAATAAATATGTTATTTTGAGACACGATTATGATCTCTTCTTTGGTTTGATTCTTGGGGAGTCCCCAAATCTGATTTATCCTCCATTCATAGGAGAAGGATTATGATAGAGAGTAGATTCTAAATATGGGTATACGATTGCATTTACTAATTTTTGCATACTTAATACGTTATGTATTTTAGTTGCTTTTAAATATCAGAATATCGCAGATTTGGTAAATGTTTAGATGATGGCCACCACCCCCCTTTGGTGGGTGGGATCGAAAGAGGAGGTCTCCCCCACCACTGTACCATAAAAAGTTCGTGGCGGTATCGCTCCCATAAAAAGTTGGGGGTTAGATGGGGGTGGGGATAGGGGGGATCGAAAGAGGGTGGTCACCTGAGTAAAACCTCATAAAATATTTGCGGCGATCTCACCCGCATAAAAAGTTATGGGGGTTGAAAGTTGATTATTTTGACAATTTTCATACACTATAATTCAAATAAAATTCAATAAAAAAATTATTTTCAAGCGGGTGGGGGTGGGGGATCGAAAGAGGGTGGACACTTGAACAAAACCCGATAACCTAACCTAACCTACCCTATTGATAAAGATATTTAAATAATGTTTTATATAACTTTCTCAATATTTTTATGTATTTTTCATTANCTATGGAAGTCAATAAGAAATAGGCGAGATAAGTTGGTAGGACACCTTCTCAGGCATGAAGGTCTAGTCAGAGACATATTAGAGGCAGAAACAGGAGTTAGGAAGGGTAGAGGGAGACCTAGATTAGATTACTGTTCGCAAATAGTTAAGGATGTGGGCTGTTCTAGTTTTAGGGAAATGCGAAGTTTAGTTCAGGGTAGGAAAGAGTGGAAGTACGTGTCCAATCAGTCTTAGGACTGACGACCTTATGATGATGATGAATTTTCCCCTTTAAAAGCTGGAGCCATTGATTATATTATCACTGCGGCTGATTTTCCTGAAGAAAATGAATAGTAATCCGATTTAAAGAAACAATTCATAACTTAAAACCCACAGTCGAATGTCGATGAATTGAATTCAGTAATGGAAAAATTTAGTTTAGAATTGTCCTATATGTAATAAAGCAATATGTATATACCGAGTTATAGGAATTCCATTATAATAATGAAAATTCGATAAAAAAAACCAATTCATAACAAAACCCGCACTCGAATGTCGAGTTAGAGAATGGAGAAATTCGAGTCAAAAAGTTTAGAATTCTCCTAAATGTAATAAAGCAATATGTAAATGTCGAGTTATAAAAGTTCAATTGTATTTCGATAATCGGAAATGTAATCATATCTACATAAAAAACCCCTTAAAAAACCCCTTAAAACTCCCCATTATGTTTGCTTGCTATTCGCCTTATTCGTTAATAACACGATATTATTACATGTTTGTTACGTACAATCCCTTCTGTGTTTTGAATACATTAACAAACAGTTGTGGTTTATGACCGATGTGACATTTTCGGTCTGAGTAGCAAGATATAATAATATATTTTAAAATGAATGAAACTGCATTCTTTAGTCGTAAACTAGCAAACTATGTAGGTGCAAACGGGGCGTTAATGTTAATGACAACCACGCACGCAAACCTAGCACTTTATAGGTGTATCAATTTATATGTGTCTGAAATTGAGATCACTGACTATTTCGTATTTGTAGGCTGCCCATGCCTGAGTAGGATTTTGATTGTTCCGGATGCCATTATGTGGGTATACAATTTTAATTTTTTTTAAGTTGTATAGTAAACCTACTACAGTACTACATGCCATTCATGTTTACCCACCCAACAGAAATAAGCGTTGACGTCAGCAACGGAGGATGTTAAAATCGATAACTGCTAAACGATGACGTCATTAGATTTAATATCAAAGGACTACCTTCACAAATAATTTCGATAGAATTGGTTCACATGAATGAAAATGATTTTAAAATTTAAAACTAAACTGCTTTTGGTAATAAAGATTGAGTAGAAATAGCAAAATAATATTACGAACAGTATAAATTTTTAACAGAGTCGAATGTTATTGCTAATGCCTGTCAACAATTAACAAAATTGCTTACCATTATCTAACCATTGTAAAACATATGGTGTGCGTTCAAATGAAATTTACCTGGAAATGTAGTTTAGCAGATGGTTACTTCCAGTACCAGGAAAATTAATCAAATAACAAAAAACACAAAACAAAAACAAAAGCCTGATATTCGCTGAAAAACTATTACATATGTATTCACTCTGCACACAATAACCATGTTTACCTGTACATCACATTGCTTGTTTAATTCATAAATTGGTGCTCTTCTCAGAATAGTGAAAGGTTTTTATTGATTATGAAATACATAAACATAGATGTGTTTCTAAACATTTTTTAAAGTGAATAAAACCTTCAAAATAAGACCCTAATAGTAATACATAACGTGTATTTCAAGATTATTTCGTCAATTTTATTACTAAATACCCTGTATTGTAAGTAAGATTTGAATAAGTTCGACTAATAGTTAAAGTACAGATAAATAATTTAACATAAATTTAACACATCCGCTTAGATCCTTAAATTAATCGTTTTCTGAAAGAATGAGATTTCACAATCCTACTAAGTATACATAAATAAATTTTTGGTCTCTGCTAAACGATTAATTTATTCAAATAAATTCAAAAGTAGTCAGTATTGTACGTGTACCATCACCATTTAGAAAGACGGATTCTAGCTTCGTCTAATAATTCTCCATTCAGCAGACTGTACTATGATCACGGCTGTGACCATTTTCAAAATTAAAATGTTGCTGCTTTCCTTCATTACCGTATTCGGTAATAGAAAGTGTTCAGCAATGGGGCACACAGCGGTTTATAGACACAAAACAATGAAAATCCGTTACGTTTGATTGTTGCTTAAACAAATAACCATTGAACATATATAAAAATTACAACTCATTTATTATAATATATATAATGAGGGAACAATTTTTTTAATTCAAGTAGAAANATTTAATAGCAATAATTAAGAAACTTGAAATAATTTTTAAAGAAACATATCAACATTGAGATTATTATAAGTTACCTAATAAATTTTACTATTTCTACGACAAACTCAGTAATTTACAATCGAAAATTGTAATTTTTGCGTTGTCATAAAAATGTAGTTTTCTCTGTGTACTGATAATTTTTAAATGATGTTAGTTTTTAAGATACCTATGAATATCTATACAATACATGTGCAGATTCGAATTGAGAACCGAACATAGGGAATATATACAAGCATCAATAGACGATATTATCTTTTGAAGAATACGATGTCATATAGGGAAATTCGTACAAATTCATTCAATCAACATTTCATAAAGTAAAATAAGTTTAACAAATGCATTTTAAAGCATTTGTTCAAAAGATTTTGAGAATTCGGTTAGTGTAAAATAGTTCTTAGAGAAGCGGATGAGCGGATGATAGATGTTGCAAAAAACATATTCTGTACAGTTTCCAAGGAAAAAGGGTTAAAAGCATTCAAAATGCGGTGTTACAGACGAATGATGAGGATATCGTAGATATAGAGAAGATTACAAATGAGGAGGTATTAAGAAGGCTAAGAGAACAAAGGTCACTATGGAAGTCAATAAGAAATAGGCGAGATAAGTTGGTAGAACACCTCTTCAGGTATAAAGAACTATTTAAAGACATATTAGAAGCAGAAACAGGAATTAAGAGCAGTAGAGATAGACCTAGACTAAATTACTATTTACAAATAGTTAAGGATGTGGAATGTTCTGATAGTTTTAAGGAAATGTGAAGATTAGCTGAGGATAGGAAAAAGTGGAAGTGCATGTCTTAGGACTGTCGACCTTGTGATGATGATGATGACGTTTCACTCATAACATATAAAAAAAGAAAAGTCGTCAATAATGTCAAAAACTGTTTTGCATTTGTTTTTGGAATAAACCGATAAAATAAGTAATTACTGACTTATATTCCAATATTATTTTCATTAAAGTCTGTTGTTTCAGTAAAATTTGTAATTTGTAAACTTGATACACAGTAATTTTGTTTCAAAATTGATTCAAAGTCATGTTGATTCTACCAGAACTAAAACATTCTGCACATCACAGAGTCGTAAATGCATGTTATTTTTTGGTTTTGTAAAGTCAATTGCACTACCATAATGCGAAACACATGCTACTAGAAATATGTATTATTTTACAATGTAAACATCTGAGGCTGATATGGGTTTACAGTTTACAGACTGATTAAAGAATAATAAGGTCTTATTTCTACTGGTTCCTCGGGTTTCCATGTTTCTTTTTTAACAGTTCATTAGAGGTTTATAAAATAATTCGTCTGTTCCATTTTGCCCTTAGGTAAGTGATAATTACCTTATAGTATATCTTAATTAGTTATAATTTACCTATGCAATATTGCCTAAAGAAATAGTGCATAGTTCGTTGACACTTAATAAGTTAATTATGTACTATTTCCGTTGCATTTTTGATCATAGATTATGTTTATTATGCAGATACTTATTTTCATTTAAATTAACGTTACCTATTTTATTAATACAATCGATAAATAGTAAGATTGGATATCTTGGACCCTACATTTTTCAGTGTAACAATTTACCAATATTAACTTTACACCTTCGATTTGCAAATTGTAGATAGATCGTAGTAAGACTTGCACTACATTGACATTTTGCCCCCCCCCCCTTGTCCCCTTTTCACACAGGTCTTATATCCCCTTTTGCTTGTCACATTACGTCATGCAGTCCTTTTGCTATTGGTTCATACTATGTAAAGGTAACTTAACCCCCCCACCTTTCCCATTGTCACATTTCGTCACACTACCCCCAAGACTCCTCTCTCCCCTAGACTACATATTCTTGTGCCGCTGAAACTTAAATTATCCCTGTGTTGAAATTTATTTATAGATAGATTACCTGTTTTTACAATTAATTAACTAATAATGTAATCTAAACAATTTCCTGTGAAATTATGAAATTTTACCTACATGCACCTAAATCGGTGCAACCATTGAGTGAAACATTGCTGAATGTATTAAGTACTTTATCACAGTTGTTTTAATCGACATGAAAAACTAATAACAATAATTTTAAGTATGCAATAGGTAGAATGGAGTCCTCTCCGTCGATTCCCATTCATCGTTTTCCAAGACGTTCTAATTCCGTATATGTGTGTGTGTAGCTTGTTTTGGTGTTGCAGGCAGTCGCCCGCCGCCGCGAGGATGAATGAATGGAGCGCGGGGCCAGGGACGACGGAAGCTGCGAAGGCGAGGTTGCGCACGCGCATTCGTTCCACTCTCGCAGCCCGAGAACGACCGCCTCGTTCAGACAGCCTAAAGTTTCCGAAGTAAACGTACTGGTTGCTCGTTGTTTCGTGTTCGTTTCAAGTGTTTCAGTGTATAATCGGGTGTATTGTACGCGCCTACAGCTACCGTCCTCACGTTACCCTTTACCTGCAGGGTATCGAACGTACGAACAACATCTACAAAAGTTTACCTGCGTGTTCTGTTGAATGTAAAGTGAAAAGGCGCCAAGTACTCCTACGATTGGAACAGACGATATGGCTGCCGCCGTACAAGTGTTATAGCCCCCGTCTCGTGTAGTATAGTCATTATAATTGTCCGCAACCCACACCGCATCTCCGCCAACCCGTTCCTCCTCTTCCAGCGAATTACCACCCCGTTGGTAGAAAAGAGAGTGCGCGTACGCACCCCCACGTCCGCCGGTACAACCCCCCCTCCCAGTGAACCGTTAAGTGAAGTAAGTGCTATTGGCGGTGAAATGACATGAGTCTTCAGGTTGCCGCATCTCTTGAACTTTTATTTAGCTATTTTTGTTATCGAACCCTTAAACAAACCACTGGATTAATATCAACTCTTCTCCACCAAACACACTTTTTCGAGGTAAGTTGTCATCAATAAACACAAACCTTATTTTATTTGCACCCACCTTATGCTGTATACCCTATTTTGTAATTGTAATGTTATTATGTCTTTTATACCCGATTTCAGCGCAATTCGTTTTGGAGTCAATAGGTACCCTACGATACACCCAAACGTGTAACTCGTTTTCATTAAGAAAAAAACCTTCACTGGTTAATGTGTCACTAGAATTTCTACTAGGTAATATGTTGTTACCTAATCGTTTGTTGTGTTTGTTTTAACCAGTCCGTTTCTATTTTTGTCATGGTTCAAAAGGGGGGTAATTAACGCGTGCGGATTCCATCACGTCATCTTCTGATTTCTTCGTGCGAGTTTCAGCGTTATTTAAAACCCACGGTGGGGTGCCCTAGGTTCATTTGGCGCGAAGCACGAGGCCTTCGACATCGCCCCGTTCATTCAGATCCGTAACTCATTGAATCGCCAAGTTCGTTCACCCGAGCGCTGCGGCAAAAAAACTCAATATTAAATAGTTGATTTCCGCTCACGAGGGGAACTTTTTCTCGGTCGCTCAGTAGCGTAACGTACACTAAAGACGGTGGGAGTCTCCAACACTCACACATTCTAGTGCCCACGAAAACACTGCAGATGATATAATACAACAACATATGAAAGCTTAAACCAATCAGAATTTAGATATTCGTTTCCTAAAAAATTCGATGTCCTCATTCATTTTTTACTTAGAAGAATAACATAAAACCCAGGTCAGTTAAAAAGAGGCAAAAGTGCATCACTCTAACCGGTCGAGGTTTTGCCAAATACAACAACTCGTCAAGCACAACACAGGTGCTTCTCGCTGGCCTTACGTTTACCTACCTAAGACAGCGGAGAGTACTCTCTCACATGTTGCAGGGTCGCTTCTTGCCACAAAGCATTAACTGAGGGCTTCAACACTCTGCTTTTCTATTTATTTACCAATCGGTTGTCGCAGTCACTGATCCAAAACACCATGTACATGTACCTACACATGTTTGTACGTAAATACGTGCATTTAAATTGTAGAGGATGTCCCAAATTCGATATACTTACTATAAAACCTTACTTATCCATTAGCATTTCGCCAGAACCAGCCAAGCAATTAACCAGTTTTTGCACATCAACATCCCCTTTTTGGATATAAATATATTATACTTTACACAGCATCCTCTAAAATAAACATTAATATAATAAGAGCAAACAAATACACAATAAAATTAAATGTTCTCATCAAGAAAACACGGATAATTGAATATCATGGCTACTCAATGGAAATATAAAAAACTTAATGTTGTCGCATTTAAATCTAATTAAAAAGCGGTTACTTTATTGTCTAAGTAACTACTGGGATAATTTTCGTTAAATATAATCAAATACAATTTAAAATACAGTGAAATTCCTAGTGGTTAATATTAAATATTAATTTGAAAATTCATTCTCAATTTGAGGTACCTTATAGTGGAAAAAATTGAAAATAAATTTTCAAAATAATATTAAATATAACTGAATTACCCAATTTTTCAATAATTTCGTTTGTATTTTTCATAAGCTTTTAATGATCTGACCTAAATGTACTGAAAAAGTAGACAAACGGTGTAAATCAATTCCTTAAATCCTTATTAATTCTATTTTTGAGAGAGTATTGAAGAATTAACTTTCCAAATGTTTTACAACATGAAGAATTTAATTAATGAATATTCGTATCTAAGAAGTACAAAAAATGCATGTTTTTACGAATGTGGGACATTGTATAGAAGTTACTCGTACATACGTGTGATCATTGGCATGTTGGGCCGCTGCCACCGGGACGTACGACGACAACGACGTCGCCACGATCACGGACGCACCTCGCCGCGCCGCACTCCTGGTGCACGGGAAACCGAGGAGAAATAGAATTCGAACGCTATATTTATACCATACGCAAAACATCATCGGGACGAAATTAGACTATGTCCCTGTTTGTTGTTGTCGACGTATGTAAGTTTCTATGTATACAGTTGATATTCGATGGCTCTCACAGTATCTTACACTTTTGGTTGCACTAAACCCAACCCAGTATGCCTCGAAACTCATCGTCAAGTTGTTGTGATCAACAAAAACCCTTTAACGCTCAGTCCCTGCAATTATTCTAGTTTTATAACTGGAAGTTAAAGTATCTACTATACTTTTACATGTTGTAGCTTTTATAAAATCGTTTGTACTCTTGAAACGATATTGTTAAAGGATAAAAAAAAAAACAATTCCCGTGTTTCTTGTCCTAGCAAAAGTACTTCTGGTTTATCTGTAAAACAGTCATAGATTCATAATTTCTTCTGGATGCTGTTGTGTTTAATCGTCTCCTTGCGGTACAGGTGCAGCTATAGAATAAACATCAAACATCAAGAATTTATTATAGTATACATAGTACACAGTAATGTATGCGGCCCGCTAAAAAAGGAGTGTTCAGCGATTGACTTGGAAACCTCCTCACCGTTTTTCCTAAAAAGGGTTGAGGCACGCTCAAGGTATCATTAGTGAGGCCGTTTTGACATTGAATTTTATATGATCTGTCTCATATTTGGCAAAAGCCTTTATAAAGGAACGGAACGCATTAATAAATAAACAAGGAGCCCACTTGTTTGCAGCCAATCCTTCAATACTTTACTGCTAGACAGATACATAACACCTATTCCAACATCTGCCACTTGTTCGTTGTATCCGATATACATAGCTTTTTTAATTAACTTTCTTAGTTATCATTACACTGCAACAATAAACTCAACTGAATCTAATCTAAAGATAAAAATATCTTTGTTTTAATACAAAAAATGTACTACAATTCGCATCGAATATCTTGTCAGACAGCTTTAACGTGGGTATAGGATTCTGAAAAAATTGCATCACAATAATTAATTCCTAAGTCAATTGGTCCATTGAATACCAAACGATGAATGTGTGGGATGAACCCGCAATCTGTAAGAGAAAACTACAGAAAATTTCATTAATCGCAGAGATAGTATTGGTGTATTTGAAAAAGGTTAAAAATCATGAATATTTCATATTGGGTAACGCAGGTAGTTATTACCTGCACTATTCTACTAATATTTAATTGGCAATGACAGTAAATTGACAAATATTTGAATAATGAACCTTGAACGATGTACCCTACATTAATACCTTAAATTCTTGCTGAAATGTTTATTACGGTAGATAAATTTTAAAATAATACGAATCTTATATTCTTCAATTCCCGTATTATCCTTTCCAGAACACGAAAAATGCATTCATTATTCACATTCGTTTACCTGTCAAACCAATATAGAAGTAAAAGTAATTGCAAACTAGGATTGTCATCTGTCCTCTTTTTACAACAGTTGCATTTTTTGTAGCACCCCTTTTAAAAAATTTATGAAAGGTAACAATTACAATTATTAGATATTAAATCTTCTATGTTACCTTACCATCACTACATTAAATATGTAGTTTCAAAAAAATAAAAATGTATTTCAACGAGTTTTATTTTTATAAAAAGCGAATTTAATAGATGCTGTATAAATTGCAGTTATAATTCCAGAAAATATAGAAAGATTTTGTCGATAAGTTTATTTTTTTTAGAAAGGACGTATTGTAAATGAAATTTTTCTTATTCGCCAGTTATTTTAAAAAAGTGGTAATCCTAAGCCGAACTTGTGTCTGTTTTACTTTGTAAAATGTTCAATTGTATTGCCGCCGTTTGTGCTGGTGTACTTTATGTGGTGGCTTGGCACAACGACATTACTGATTGCAGCTTAGGCCGGACATCCTACTTTGTTAGTAATAGACTGTTTCCCGGGAATTATGTCAAACGCGGTCGTAAATACGTCCACATAGTCTAGATAAAATACGAAATGTATGCGGGATCTTGCTGAAAGGAAGTAAAGTATTACGACACGCGAACCGTATTATCCGCCACCTCCACCATCGTATGTTTCGGCAAACATGTTGTACCCGTTCAATTGTTCTATTACAATACGAACAACCAGCATGAGTCACCAACAGGTAACGTTCGTGCTGTCTATAAAGTGTCATTCCTTTTGAAAATGAGAATACTATTCCAAACATCTGAATGCCTATCATCTCTTCTTGAAAATCTACTCGTTACTTGATGTCCGACCCTGTTCGCTCTACTGCCTCCTTTCAAAAATTAGCTGCTTCTAATTACAATGAAATGACAATCAATTTTATATACCTACGTAATCAATAGCTTCTAAGAGAATTATTGTTTAAATAATTTTTTTTTATAAAGGAATAGGTACTTAAAACGTAATCTTGTGGAAGTTTATCTTTGACAATTTTTGCTAATAAATTTTCATGGTAAACTTACCGGCATTTTTTGGTAGGTAATTTAAAGAATTAAATTTTTAACTTTATTTATCACAACAAGTTGAAAGTAACTGCG